AACTATTCGTAAGTCGCGAGTGGGCCAGGGATGCAGGAGGCTTCGGCTGGAGCAGATGATCTGAGTAGAAAGCGGTGGTAGTTTCTTAACCCTTCAGCCACTCACATTCTCGTTGCCCCTCTGTTGCTATATCTAGCAACCATTCCCGGGGCCCGGTCGGTGAGTTGGCGAGTCTCCGCCTGCCATTTTTACGTGTAAAAATTACATTGTTTCGGCAGGTGCCATAGTCATCCATAGTTCCCAATTTACCAGTCCACAGCAACCCATCCATAGCCCCACGTTCTTTTTTTCCATTATTCACAATAGTCCTACACTAACCGGGGACTGTCCTTGGGTGCATTTCCATAGTGCATACAGGGATAGTCGCCGGTTTGTGTGTCCATTACATTTATATTAAAGTTGTCTAAAGGGCCTCTGCGCAGTTGGCTTCGGCCCCTCGTATGCCTCCCAAATGACCGGGACCCTGTGGTCCCGTGAATGGCAAAGACATAATAATAATAATATGAATTTATTTCAGATTTCTCCATAAATTGTTAGTAACATGAAAATACTTAAAAACTATTGTTAGTAAACAAATTACACCCAAAAATAAAAATACAATTAAAAATACATAGATTGTAGGACCAATCCCACGCCAGAACGCATCACTGTATTTTATTTGACTGCGTGCAGTCGTATCCAACGCTCAAGCATCGGGGAATCCCATCGGTCCGTCAATACGCTCAAGATGCTGTTGGAACTAGCTCGCATGCGAGTTAGGGTCGACGTGCAACGTTTACGCATGACTGTCGCAAAACTGTCAACGTTGGCCTCGGCAAACATACCCGAGGCACTACAATACCGCTGTAGCCCCATCAGCATCCTGAAAGCATTGTTGTACTGCACCCGCAGGCCCCTGTATGCCCCCTGCAAGTAGCCAACCCACAGGCTGCAGGTGTAAAAGGATTGACAGTAAGCCTTAAACAGTGTTTTCTTTACTTGTGTGCTACAGCGTGCAAACCTGCGAATCAACATGTTACACCGGACAGACAAGGACCTGCGCTCTCTCTCAATGTCAGTATTGTCTTTTTGATCATCAGTAACCCAATGGCCTAAATACTTGAATTTAGAAACTCTTTTTAACGGGGTACCGTTCAGGACTATATTAGGTACATTATCATAGTGTTTAGTACCCGATTTAAATACCACGAGCTCAGATTTAGTTGAGTTGTACTTAAGGCCATGGGTGTTTGCGTAAGTCTCACAAAACTTTATGAGCTCCCTCAACGCACAGATGGAGGGGCTCAGGAGCACCATATCGTCAGCATAGCTTATATTGTTGATACATACACTATCTATATGACAGCCGATTCTGGCGCTTCTGAGCCCCCCAATCAGCTCGTTCATGTAAAAGTTAAAAAGAAGAGGAGAGGAGAGTCCCCCCTGTCTCACTCCGCACTCCAGTTTGTACTCTTCCGAGAGAGTACCAGCCCATCTTACCTGATTTTTCTGTGCACTGTACCAATGCCTTAGCATAGCAACGATCTCCCCGGGTACACTAGTATCCTGTAGTTTATTCCATAGTTTGTCATAAGATACAAGGTCAAAAGCTTTTGACAAGTCTAAAAAGCAGGCATAGACAGGAGTTTTTCTAGCTGTGTAATAGTGGACCGTCTGCTTGAGCGACAGAATAGCACTCTCGGTTGAGAGTCCAGACCTAAATCCAAACTGTGCATCATCCAAGTTCAGGTGTGACTCCAAGTGTCGCTCAATCAGACCGTCCAGTACCTTAGCTATAGTGGTAGCCAGAGAGATCGGCCTATAATTTGTGACATCTGAAGAGTCCCCTGTTTTATTTTTAATAACAGGGACTACGATGGTATGCATCATTTTCTCAGGCAAATAGGAATGAGACAAGCATATATTGAAAAATAACGACAGTACTCTCGGAAGGTGAACTCCAGCATACCTCAGATGCTCGATGCTGAGGCTGTCATGCCCCGGAGACTTTCCGCTCACCATTTTCTTTATTACCAAAGCCACTTCACTTGCGGCAAATCTAACACTCAGCTCCGATGCAAGACCCCCAGCATCGAGCAACGTTGACGAGGCTGGCCCCAGAGGCGATTGTACTTTAAAATGATGCCGAAAAACATTTGCAATATCACTTGGGTCATGGGTACCAGCTACGCTCACAGGAAGGCTAGGTCTAGGATTTGATTGGTTACTCAATTTCCAAAACTTATTGAATTTCTTATTTTTATGGTGTTCAGCGACAATGTCCATTCTAATTTGTTGCTGATTGTTTTGACACCATTTTAATTTTGACTTAAAATAACGTCTCGAAACACACATGTCATTATAGATAGTACCGCAGTTTGGTTTATTATTCGATAACCACACCTGGTAACAAAGTCGCGCCTTCTCGTGAGCGCTGCGCACATATTTATTCCAACCCGTAACACATTTACCCCTTCGTTTCGCCACAATAAAGCTATATTCTGCTGCTTCGGAAAGTATCGACACAATATCATCATACATATTATTTATAATTGATCTATGCGTAGTATTATTACACATATGATCGGCACAGGATGTTAATTCACTAGGAAAATCGATGTCTCGTAATTTGTAATTACAGATATTTCTATACATATCAATCTGATCTATATTTCGCTCACCCCATTTTATTTTATTTTCATGTAAAGAGCTACACATACAAATTTTTGATTTTAAAAGTTTAAAGTTGCAATTCAACAAAATAGGCAGATGGTCAGACCAGTATGTGTCATACAATACAGAGCTACTTATAACTGAGCGGCACGCAGCTTCGGTCACCACACAATGATCCAACCACCTCCGGCTACCGTGCGCTTCACTGATAAAAGTAAATGTGTCGGCAGGCAGCAACTGCATGGTTACACAGGACCATGTCTGGTCAGCACAAAAACTTAACAATTCAGATGCAAATAACTCACCGGGGTGGGCATTAAAATCACCTAGCACGTACACTGATTCCACACTTTGACTTTCAATTATTGCGTTAATTTCACCTAAACAGTCAGTAAACTCAATTAAATTGTCCCTTGAGTCTGTGGGCATGTAAACCGAAAATACAATTGCTGAGCAATTATTACGTAACTCAATTTTAATTGCGGCTAGACGCACACTTTCACACTCCACAACGGTAACCACTGGGAACTTGTCCCTTTTCCACAATAAGGCCACGCCACCGAAGGGTCTGCCACGGAGTAAGCCAGCCGAGGTGTCGACTGCTGAGGTACCCGTGCATCCAAAATCGTCGTGAATACTGTTGAGGTACGCGAGATCATGTGGCAGCAGCCATGTCTCCTGAAGCGCTATGATGTCGGCAGTGCCACACAGTCTTCGCACGCAGTCCACGGACCTCACAATATTTTTACAGTTGAAGCTAATCAAGTTTACTGCATCAATTTCTAAACTATTTTCACTGTTTACGCAGCTATACATAGTTTTATTGATTAGTTAATTCATTCCGGTCACCGATGTCACTTGTATTTTCAACAATATGGTCATATTTATTCCTGTTGAAATACACAAAACGTCGAAACTGTATTCCCTCCGGCCAGAGCGCATCGTCAAGAAACACTGACAACTTGTTGTGTGGTACAAAAATTTTATATGCATCATACGATTTTTGTGTCTTCATTTTAATTTTCTTCATAGTAACGGATATGCTCGTCTTTTTTATAATGTAATCCATAATATCGCTTTCACTCGTCTCCCTATCTACATAATTAATAAATAGAGGAATTTTATTATCAGCGGCTTTAAACTTAGTATTTGGTTCCGCTTTTCCTTTTGTCCCAATGAACCGGTTAGTTAAACGCTTATTTTGCACTTTGATCCATCCTTGGTCGGATTTTTCGTTTTTCCATTTCCCGCTACTGCTTAAGGTTTCCGCGAACGTTTTTGTATTGGGGCAAGCGGCTACCGGTTTATCATTTATCGTATTTATTTTGTTCTCGCTGATTTTAAGCGGCCGACGTTCCGGCGAACGCGTGTCTGAGACAACATCATATGTAGTTAAGTTTTTTGTTTCATTGTCTGTAACAGCTGATGTATTGCCGTTATCTTTTAAGTGCGAAGCTGTTTCCGTAATGTGAGGTAGTCCTAGCGGTCCACTGTCGAGACAAAAACTGTCTATTCTGCAGCTACCTCCTCTTTTTTGATTTACATTTAAATCAAAATTATTAACAATAGATGCTTGTTTTAGATTTTCCACGTCGTTTTTTACTTCATTTAATTGTGTTGAAGTTACATATGTATCTTTTATCTCAGTAAGGTCCTTCTGCAGTATCAAAATGTCCTTCAATAACCTCGTGACGTCAACGTGATCAAAGGTCACTGGCGGTAGTTTGTGTAATTCCTTCGCAACAAATATTGGAATTTCTTCTGGATCCGCTTGTTTAAGCGCATATATTATATCGTACAAGTCACGGGTAGATTTCCCGCTTCCTTTTCTTGATATATTGCGCTGCTTCGCAGGTAATGCTTCGAACAAATGATTTTTTGCACTTTCTATTTCTTCGACCAAAAACGCAGTGGAGCATATTCTCACTATACTTTCTTCATCCATTACTTTGATTTTATTTTGAACAAAAGCCAAAACTTCATTTATCACTATATTACAACTTTTACATTTCACTAACTTAGTGGCCATTTTTTTTTTTTTTTTTTTTTTTTTTGCATGTAGGAGAAAAGCGATTATTTTAATATTACAAAGTGGCACTCCTAATTATTTATCAGAAGATTATTAATTAATAATTAGAAAAATCGACTAAAACCAATGCTAAAAATATTAATAATACCTGGAACGTTTATCTGTATACTCTGTGGAAAATAAGTGTGTCATATGGCAGCACAATCTGTCAACTGTCATCAGCGCACGCTGTCATTCCTGTCAAAACAGTGTACAATGCACACGTGAGTGAAGTGAATTGTGTTAAAATATTTTAAAATAAAAAGACCACGTTATAACGATGAAGAATCCAAAAAAGGTAATATAAGTGCATGTAATAATATATCATGTACTGTTTTTAATTTAGTAGATTGCTTGTCTGGTTACACCATGGTTCCATATTAAATTAGAAACTTTAAATTTACAGAATGCTCCAAAACGTTATTTTGATGTCGAAGAAAAGAATTCTGAGCATAAACAACAAGATGTGGAAGTATACACGATAAAGGTAATCAACAAACGTTTGAATTTTCCTTCTTTAACTTCAAACAAATTATATTTTCAAATGTAAACAAAATTTTGACATAACTTAGGTTATATTAGGTACGTTTCTATAAAATTCACACAAAAAATTTAATCTTTCAGAAAAATAACAATAAAAGAACAGACAATAATCGTATACAGAAAAGAAAACCACATAAAAACTTTAAAGGGAAAGCTCCTATAAACCCAGAGAAATTGGAAGCACATTCGCGGGGCGAAGGTGTAGGTAAGGGTGTGAAACACCCACTACATGCTGAAAAATTGAAAAAAAAGGAGAGGAAGTACACTTATGCTCAAGAACAAGCGGCTAGGGCTGAAATATTGTTGACAGAAGATCATGGGTAAGAGAAAAATTATATTTATTTTCTTTGAAATATTACAAATATTAAGACCTTACCACTTACACTATATTATCATCTGACCTTTAAATATGTTGGACTCTGCGTTTTAGCTTACACTTTATTTTATTATTTGTAATGAGAATACACTTTAACTCGTCGAGTACCGGTTTTATAGACACAATTAAAGAACAATAGGTCGCGGTCACCGGTGACCGCTCGGTGTTTGACAGATTAAGGGATTGCCCTGGTTAAGTGCAAACTAAATCAACCTCATTGGTTAAGAAAGAAATCATTGGTTAAGCAGTTACTGTTGCACTGGTTGATTGTCATTTTCTAGATATAAATAAATGACATTACCTTTTTTATATCTGGTTTTCACGGAAACAAACATCTCAATGAATATAAGGGTGTTTTATTTATGTATAAAATTTTAATATTTCAGTGGTTTAGAAGTAGATGAGGATGTAAAAACAACAGCGATATCACAGAAGATCATAGCAGAGAATGTAGACATATCTGCCGCGACTAAAATATTCGAACTGAACCTAGATTTTGGGCCATACAGAGCCAAATATTCCAGAAATGGCCGCCATTTACTACTCGGCAGTAAAAAAGGACATTTGGCAGCTTTTGACTGGGTTACAAAGAAACTGCATTTTGAAATAAATGTTATGGAATCTATTCATGACATCAGGTAAGATTTGTGTTAATGTATCATTTCATTTTAATTAATGTAAGCTACGAAATCTCTTACCTGTCCAGTCCCCAAGTGGTCACCACTCTCAATTTGCTCCATTTTTGACCTTATTTCTGATGTTTAGGGACTACTTTTGTATGAACAAATGTTGTGGATTTTTTATAATAAGGGATCTTAATCCCTTACGTGGCATCTCCTAGTGTCTTAACGTTAAGTACCTACTGTAGTATTATTTTCTTTTTTCTACTGCCTCTATACGAGACATAATATAAAAATCAATTAGAGTAGGCATTCATAACATATAGCCAGACAACTATTGATATTTATTATGTGGGATCAGTAGTGTAATCCATAGAGGCTTACACACAGCTGTGAATCAAGATTCTTAAAAAACTGAAGACTATGAAGACGATTGTGTCGGACCTTTTCAAATCATCATAGTATTATTATTATTCGTTATCTGACATCATTAATGTTACAGTGCATATTTTTTTTTTATATCTAATCACTACTGATTGTCCTAATACTAAATAAATAAAAAAATCATCACTAGTAGTGACCAAATGTCGACCTGTCAAATATGGATAAATAAATAAATCTTTTATTTTATTTCCAGTTGGATGCACACAGAAACAATGGTGGCTGCCGCTCAGAAAGAATGGCTATACATGTATGACAATACGGGGACAGAGTTACACTGTGTTAAGAAGATGGATAAGATATTGAGGATGGAGTTCCTGCCCTATCATTTCTTACTGGCCGCTGTTGTGAGTACAAATAAGTTTTAATTGATTTCATTTTCATATCTATGATGGACTTTGAAAATATTAATTCAGGAGAGGACCAGAAGTTGATGCATAAAAAATATAAAAGTAATTCTTTTATAAACTGTGTTTAAAAAAACCGACTACAACACCCTCATTTTTTTAAGTCAGTTTAATTAATATATTTATAAAATTTATATACGATAAGTAATCTTCTTCTAAGTGTAACAAACAGTTTTCTGATATCAAAATCAGTTCAGCCAATTGCAAGATAATCGCGCATTAACACATACATACATAATTACATACCCTCTTTCTTTTTTTAAAGTCGGTTAAAAAACTGTTTCTTGTCCCCAACTTACTGAATGTACTTGATTAGTCTAACTGATAGTTTGTCTATTACTGTTTTAAATGTTATTCTAAGTTCAAATTGATTACACTCCTGTAAGTGTGGGAGAGCCATACTTCGGCACGAATGGTATCACCGAAGTGATACCACGGCCTCACAGAAAACAGACGTGAAACAACGTTGTGTTTCGTCGTGTGAGTGAGGTTACCGGAGTCCCAATTACCCCCAGTCTCCCCAATCCCCGAATCCCCCACAATCCTCAAACTCCTAATCCCAAAAGGCCGGTAACGCACTTAAAACGCCTCTGGTGTTTCGGGTGTCCATGGGCGACGCCGATTGCTTACCATCAGGTGATCCGTCTGCCCGTTTACCGGCTTATCTCATAAAAAAACTCTTATTGCAAAATCCAATATTCTAAAAAAAAGATCATGATCCTTTCGCATGCATGGATGCTACAGTAATAAATTTATGAATGCCATAAACAATCTTATTTTCAGAACGAATTTGGCTTCATGACATGGCTGGACATTTCCATTGGAGAAGTAGTAGGACACTATAACAATCATTTAGGAAGGACATCAGTAATGGCACAGAATCCATATAATGCCACAATATGCTTAGGAAACTCTAAAGGAGTTGTTTCACTCTGGTCTCCGACTATTAAGGAACCACTGGCGAAGATATTATGTCATAAAACACCACTCACTGCTATTGCTGTAGATAATAGAGGAATGTGAGTATTATAATTTATAACTATACTTTTCAAACATATAAATGCTAGGCTGATCTTTTCTTTAATTTTTTGAATGATTTTAACTCTGTTATAACTTTCGTGCGACATACTAAACTAATTATTGTATTATTCGGCTTACTCACGTAATTAATTGACGAGGTACTCGACTAGTTTCAAGCCATGCTAGAGGCTCATTTTTATGAGCAGCATTTCAGCAGAGAGTTGAATTCCTCGTCAATTAATTACGTGAGTAAGCCGAAAAACTTAATAATCGATTTTTACTTATGATAAGTAGAAATCTAATTACAGATTACGGTGAATACTTCAAAATTACAGATTAAAACATAATTAAAATCCTCCTTATATTTTTTTCAAAAAACTGATTCTTTGAGTGAAATGTAAGAGCTTTTCTGCTGTAGATCTTATCAATTGTGATGTTTTTATTTATTTATTTATTTACACTTCTGTACAATAAACATACGATGGCGGACTTAATGCCGGGTGGCATTCTCTAACAGTCAACCATGTTTTTCATGATCTTGTTTGCTTATCAGGTACATGGCTACATCAGGAGTAGACAGAAGTATGAAAATCTGGGACATTAGGAATTTGGACGGGCCTGTACAACACTACAGACTAAGAAGTGCTCCCGTAGACTTAGAATTCTCACAGAAGGATATGCTCGCCGTCGGGTTGGATGAAGTCGTAGAAATATACAAGTAAGTTGATACTTTTTAAATAATACGCTCTGAAGAAAGGCAGCTAAATACGTTAAATACTCATTACTCGTCAATTGGCGAATCTTGCCTTATATTCCTTCCTGGCTACGTATTTTTGCCGACTACTGACAATTTTCGAAAATCGAAAATATTTAACAAAGGCTTTATTGTATTCGACACCGAAACAATACCATTTAATATGAGGAAAACCGTATTATCCTCTAGCCAAACGCCACTTTAGCGCTTGTCTACAGTGAGAGTAGATATCAAAATGTATGGGGATGACACTGACAAGTGTCAAAATTTACGTCAATTCCATATAATTTGGTTTTCTATTCTACATGTAGACAAGCGCTAAATGGCATTTGGCTACAGCTGCAGGTTACAGGAGGGGCGCCACAAGACGCGCGTGTGAATGCACCAATTGCGTGACGGGAACACGAAAACAATTAGGTGCTTGCCTAGGCTGCTCTCTAGGTCTATTCCGCCTCTGAATATGAGACTATTGCAGGAATAACATAATATCACGCCTTTTATCCCCGAAGGCGTAGGCAGAGGTGCACATTACGGCACTTAATGCCACTGTACAATGTAACACCCACTTTTCCCTATTTATGTTATAAGTCCCATGTAATAGGGGGTGACCCTACTGTCATATATCGGGCACAATTCCAGACTCCATGCTACTACTGAGACTATTGCAAGAATACTGCAAAATTACTCAATTTTAAGACCTGCTTAAATATTGTGGCGTCTCTGTCATATTACAAAGAATTTGTAGAGACAGAACTATAAGTACTGGAGCACCACTTAAAATTGAGTAAAGTTACAGTATTGTGGCATATTACTAAAACATTTAAAAACTATAACCTATCTAAAATCTATTTCTTTCATTTAGCAATTGCTGCTCACAAACAACAGACAGACCATACTTGAGGCATCGGATGGCGAAAACTATAACTAACTTCAAATACTGTCCGTATGAAGATGTGTTAGGAATTGGAACAAGAAGTGGATTCACCAGCATTATTGTACCAGGTAAGATCAAATTTTACACATTAAATTTACTAAAAAGGTTAGAACAGAAACAGTTTTATAAGAATGACTTAAAACATTATGTAATTCTTAAGAGCCAGTATTCGTATCTAAAAGTGCGTACAACCCGTAACATAATCCTATGATGTCCTACTGGACCATCGAAAACAAGTGATATAGTAGAATTAGCAGAGATAGTGGCCAAACGCCTCGTTGGCCGAGTGGTCGCAAGTGCGACTGCCGGGCAAGGGGCCTCGGGTTCGATTCCCGGGTCGGGCAAAGCATTACTGGGTTTTAAAAAAAAATCTCAGTAGTAGCACGGAGCCTGGAATTGTGCCTGGTATATGGCATTATGCTCACCCCCTATTACATGGGACTCATAACATTAATATTGAAAAGTGGGTGTTACATTGTACACTGGCATAATGTGCACCTCTGCTACCCCTTCGGGGATAAAAGGCGTGATGTTAAGTAAGTGGCCAAACGCCGAATCCAATTCGAGACAATGTCGGTAGACTGAATTATACATTATTTCCCCATACTTTATCCACTTTAGAGATGAGAAAATGTAACGTTTACTAACATGACATCGTATTATTTTCCATCATTATGAATAAGTCCCGCGGTAACTATGTAACTGGTTGGCGCGGTGGCTGGGCAACCGGCAGCTGCGCAACGTGTGGCTGGTTCGATTCCCGCACGGACCAACTCTTTGTGTGATCCACAATTGTTTTTTCGGGTCTGGGTCTCATGGGCATGTAAAATTATGTTTGTAAACGCACCCACGACACAAGAGCAAATCCTAGTATGGGGCAACGTTAAAAAAACAGTCCATTTGGAAAAGCAACCAAAAAATCGTTACGTAATTTTCACCATTTTGTGATATTCTTTTACAGGCAGCGGAGAGCCCAACTTCGACGCGTTGGAGAGCAATCCCTTCCAGAACAAGAAACAGAGGAAGGAGGCTGAAGTTAAAGCGTTGCTGGACAAGATACCTGCAGAACTTATCACGCTCAATCCATTTGATATCACTGAGGTTGATGTGCCTTCTCTGCAGGAGCAAATGGAAGCCAAGAAAAAACTTTTGGTAAGGATTAATACAGAGTTCTAACCTTTTTATCCAATAACTAGCTTCTGCCCGCGACTTCGTATGCGTAATCCCATTTTTTCCCGTCCCCGTTCGTGATTTTCGGAAAAAGTAAAAAAAAAAAAATTTGCTTAAAAAGTATCCTATGTCGGTCTCCTGGCTCTAAGCTACCTCCCTACCAATTTTCAGCCAAATCTATTCTGCCGTTCTTGAGTTATAAGTAGTGTAACTAACACGACGTTTTATTATATATATAGATTAAGATTTTCGTTAATAGATTCGTGATTGCCGGTTGAAAGCTAGCTTGATAAGTTTTGTTTTACATTTTGCGCTCTTTAGAACCGAAAATCAAAATAGCGATTGGACAAATACAACCTCATAGGAATTCTCAAGTTCGTAAAAGGGCGATCATTCAATAATCATTCCTTTTCCAGTACCTCAAACCGAAGAAAATGGACTTCACTCCTAGGCATAAGAAGAAGGGCAAGACGCAAATAGCGAGAAAGAAGATTATAAAACAAGCAGCGAGACAGGTAATCAAATCAATTATAACATGTTTGCATTGTTCCTTTTTGTCCACATTGAGGGAGCAAGCACAATTTGTGTGTACTTGAAAATCAACAAAGATGTTCCCAGTCCAGAAGTTTTCGGATGTGGGTGTCATGGGCATTGGGCATGTAAAATTTGTTTGTAAACGCACCCACGACACAGGAGAAAATCCTAGTGTGGGGCAACGTTTTTTTTTTTAAAAACTAATTTCTCAACTATATTGAACTAAATATTATTAGTTGTATCTCTAAAAACAATAGCGAAATCCTATTAAAATAAAAAATGTTTTTGTCTTTCCAGGAGTTCATAGAACAAGCGAAGGAAGCACAGAAAGCACTTGACCTACCACAGCCAGAAGCTGCAAAGAAACCTTCATTCGGTGTCCTCGACAGATTTGTGCCAACAATTAAAAATAAGAAATAAAACAAAAACTTTGTATACATATAATCTAACAATTTATTTCCTTGCATTTATTCCAAAATGATTTTTCATATTTACAAAATTTATTTACAATTTTATAGTAAGTATACTTATACAATAAACTTCAACATGATCAAAAATAGTGTCATAAAAAATGTCTTTAAACAAAAAAAGTTCATAAAAATGTCATGTCAAAATACTGCTAGCATGGGATATCATACAAGTCACATAGTCCTTCTGTGCCGTGTAGGGTAAAGGAGAAGTCGTGTTTCGTCACAGGTGGGCTCAGTCTCATGAGATAATCTGAAAACAGATAAGTACACTGAAAAAAACCTTTCAAAGAGGGTGAAAGATAAAAACAATTAGTCATATGCGACACATAATGTGTTTTCTATTGTGTCTCATACATATACTGGCTAATAATTTTGCCGTCACCACTCAACACTGGCAGTATAGTCGACAACACCATTTTGGAGACTCGGTTGCCAAAGAAGAAGAAAAAAAAAATATACTAGCATACAAGAAGTTAATCAAAGTTTAGTTGGAAAGTGTAAGTGCATGTTTAGTTAATTAGGTGTCCTTGCAAAACAAAAAGTAATTAAGTTAATTCAAATCATAGCTGGAGATGAAAGGACCGTTTTATTACATACTGCAAGTACACAAAACATTCAAGATTTTGAAACCATTACTGTTTAAACTGTCAAACACCAAGCGGTCACCGGTGACCGCGACCTATTGTTCTTTAATTGTGTCTATAAAACCGGTACTCGACGAGTTAAAATGAACAAAACTACCCAACACACTCCCACAACCTTTTAAGGTATAGTCCAAAACAAGGAATGATATTTTTAATATAGATATTAATTCTAAATAACATAATACTCACTGCTATATTTATTTTCTTCACTACTGCTTTCTGTAAGTTTCTTAACTTCAGGGTCGTCCATATTTGAGTCATCATCACTTTCCTAAAATAATAAAAGTACATTTTATAACAAAAAGGTTAATGAAGGGATTATACAGACCAGGTACAAGTCTTTACGGTTCAAACTTGAAGCGACTGTTGCAAATCATAGTACATACCTTATCATTTTCATTATCACTTAAAAGTATAACTCCAATTGATTCTGTTGATTTTAAATGTAAATAATAATGTGGGTCTGTCGTCTGAAACAATAAAATAGACAAACATTATTACAGAGGCCATATAAAAGGGAACTTTTAGATGAGAGTACAAAGCTTATGACTCATTAACTAACAATAAAAAAAAATATGTCAGTGGTTTCAACTGCCTGTCTGAATAAAATAAATAAATTAAAAGAATAAAATGCTGTTACAATCTACTGCTTAATTTACTAGCTACTAACAAAACAGACTTAGAACTTTTCTAAACAGTTCTGACATAAATGATGAAGTAAATCGTTGAACCCAATGGGGATGATGACAGGGTATGAAAATTAAAAATATAATTAGTCCGTAAGTTAGGTAATGAAAAAATTTTAGACACGTATTTTTTTATTTTGTCGTATAATAAAACAATACTTAGATAAAACGAATCAAAGTTTAGGAGTGGGGGCTAAAACGTCATTCCTTAGTATAAAATGTACTGAGCAGTGACGTCACACGACATTTCAAATCAATATATCTTCGAAACTATTCGTTTCTGTGAGAAAATAAAAAATACGTGTCTAATGTTTTTAAATAATCTATCAGACGGACATTAAAATAAAAATTAGTCGTCTACCCCATTACAGTAGTTGCATAAATTAAATGTTTTGATTTGTCATAGATGTGTTGTGTGGGTTGATTAAAAGATACTCACAACAAATTTGGTTCTCGTTATCCCAGATTGTCGGATTTCAGTAACATACTTTTGCTTAGTCTGTAAATATGAAAATGTATTATCATTAGTTTATCAAGTACATTAAGTATAATTATGCTGAGATCGTCATGCCACTGGTGGATAGGCCTCTCCATGACACACCATTGAGCCAATTGAAGTTGAGTTGAGTTGAACTAATAGAATAATCTATTATTTTCTTTATTTTGAAAACAGATCAAAGACCAAATTCAAAAATATCAACAAACTACTTATCAAAAAATAATTTCTGTTACACTTAATACCACTAGGAAGCCCACAATCACATGATGATTGATATGTGGGAAATCTCATGTTAAGAGGCGTGTTATTAAACTATCAAAAGCCCAAACACCACTGTAGGTACATATTATCTATTCATACGAAGATCCAACGTCACCTCTGGACATGCCCCTCTCATTTTAACTGTCACTAACACTACACTGGGCATTGTGCCCCGTTTTCAAGGGTTAGATATGAATCAAAATACCTGAATACTTGTAAATAGAAGCATAGACACATATATTTATATCTACACAGATGTAAGGAAGCGTTCTTCCATAAAATGAAGACAAGTGATAATAAAAAACGAGTACAGTGTAACACCCACTTTTCACAATTTATGGAGTCCCATGTAATAGGGGGGTGAGCCTATTGCCATATACCGGGCACAGTTCCAGACTCCGTGCTACTACTGAGAATTCTTTAAAAACCCAGAAAGCAATACTTTGCTTGACCCGGGAATCGAACCCGAGACCCCTTACCCGACAGTCGCACTAGCGACCACTCGGTCATCAAGGCAGTCAAATATTTATTTTCCTATAATAGTTGTAATCTACTACTCAAGGTTCATGTTGCATGAGTATTATGAAAACTAAAAGAATTGAAAAAGTAAAAACGTATTGTCTGTGTTTTCAAAGCATTCCGTTTACACCCTGCATTATAGTAATTATTATACTTACAGGTGAAGCGCCAACTGATAATTGGGCACCTAGTGGTGCTTCTAACACGAGAATTTGTTCATCTATAATACAGTCACGTATATCTTTATTTGTAACATAACATCGCTTGCTGTTATCTGTATCATCCAACACATTTTTTATACTTTGTTCAATCCAATGTAACTGTCTGAAATTAAAGAAAATATTGTTTTAAGTCTAATGAAGAGAGAAAGTACAACTTTATTTACATTGTGATGCATGCAAAATACAAATAAACAATCAAAATGTGTGCTGACCTAAGAATGAAGCAGCAGCCAATAATAATGTCAATAATTGAATTATCAATTAAACATTTAGGGTGCAATTGCATACAGATACAACAATGTAACTATCACGACAGCGTAATGACATTGAGAAGTGTGTAATCGTATCAAATACTTACTTATCAAGTAATCTCTCCTGATCGTCTAGGCGCGCAATCTGTTTTCGCAAATGTACAACTTTATTACCAATATCACTTGTTTTGCATTCCGGTCCTGCACCCCTGAAACATAGTTATAAATAACAAACAAACAAATCAAAAGTTAACGAATCACAAATAAACAATAAAAAAGTTCACCCACTTCCATTGTATACTGTTCTTACTTCTTTTCTCAATAAGCCCGATCCCTTCCAACACATTAGTTATGTCATATATTCTTCTCTTCTGTCTTACAGCTAACAAGTTCGTCGCCTAGAATAATATTATACAATTACTACGAATTACGTTCAAAATATTTATTTTTCGTGCCCAAATATTCACTTGACAGATCAATGGGAGGCAAATTATGCTACACTCACGATTTTCAAATCCAAAACACCATCCTTGGCTTTTTGAAGCAAAGACACGAATTTCGTTGTAAGTAAACCCAAAGACTTTTCATGTCTTTTAGATTTAAAGTCTGCCATTGCCTGCATTTACACTAAATTTTTATAATTTCCTCTTCAAATGCGGTGATTTCTACAGAATTTTGCGTCGCGGCGGGATATTATGTTGGTAGCATTGCGAGTGCGACGTAAGCAACTTTTTTTTAATGAACATCCACAGATTAAAATAAAATAACCTCTCATGGAGATCTCAACTTTTAGTCGATTACTCACTCATTTGTATTTTGGGCTTTGAAGTAATCATTATTTCCTTAATAAAATAACAAAAGCCTTACAAAGCTTGGTTTATTTTTGTAAAATACTGACTACAAAAAAGAATCATAAACCAATTTGTGGCCTGATTTTTTTTTTGCTTTCTTAAATTACGTATATGAAGCGATTTTAGTATTATGAATCGACTTCATAAGTACCAAACTATGCCCACAATAATTTTTAGTACCCACGATTTATTAGTTTTAAATAAAATATTATTAGAAATTCTGCTACTAATCTGCTACTAAGTATTGGAATCAGGAATAATGTTAAAATGCATGAGACATGGTCATTGTCAATCCATGGCGAAGGGTGGGAATGATGGTGTTATTTGTAAAAAAAAACAGTTTAAACTTCGAATTTTGGTCGTTAAATACCCGCGTAACTTGTTGAATTTGTGCGCTTGCACACGTGTAGCCTGCAGTAAGGCAGGTTGTTGTACCCAAGTTTTTATTACCTATTTGCTATTTCTCAACAAAGAGAGAAACAGAGATCAGAAAAACTAGTTTTTAAAAGTAATTTAAATTATCAAACGATACCTATTACATTTGAAAGAAATTAAGTAGGAAACAAAAATCGTCTTTATCATTAAACTCGACGAAAGTCTTACGTGACTCTCCTCACTCTACTTAGTAAGTAGGAGAGTGAGTGGTATAAAATACTCTGATGAACGAATTATAGAAGAATAAACTAAACTTAATTTAATAGTAAAGTAGTTTATTTCTAATATCTTTTACTAAATATTTCCTTTAACAATTCACATTTTTCTCTTTCAATCTGTAGTGTTTCTCTGTATTCTTTTTCTTTTAACTCTATCTTCTTCAATTCTAGTGTTTCTTTTATTTCTAACTCTCTTCGTCTTAGCTCTAATTCTTCTTCTCGCAGTTTCAAATTTCTGTCATAGATTTCATCTCGCCATTGCTTTTGTTCTTCTTGTCTCTGCAAGTATTCGAGCCATTGTTTTTCCAATTGAATTTTTCCCTGGAATCTATCACTCTCTATTCTGTTGGCCAGTCTTATTTTTCTCATCTCAATAACAGCTTTGCTTTCTTGATTCATCTTTGAATTTGGATCACTTCCGTTTACTCTATTATCTTTCTTTTTATGTAAAAGTTCAGTTAATGCGTAGGAATCACAGTCAACATGATACTGTGAATAAATGTCATTCATGATTTTAAAATATTTGAATTTATCATGGTGTCCGCTATCTACACACTGTTTATACTTCTTGGTAAGGGCATTTATTTTCCATCTAACTTGATCTGGTGTCATCTGAAAGAAAATTAATTAGTGAATTCAGAGTAATTAGAGGCAAAATATGAATTATTAAGCCTTATATTAGACTCATTGATTAGGTACTGAAATGAATGGGATGTACCTCAATTCCATATTCACTTAAACTTTGAGATATAGCAATCCAGATCCTAGTTTTCTTCTTCGGTGTTTCTAACATTTCTAATTTACTTTCATATAATTTTAAAAGAGTTGTGGTAGCATTTAATGTCCATACTGCACCTGTTAATGATAGGGAACAAATTCATTATCATATTCATGTCAGCCACAAGATATCCTGTGCTGAAAACATTTTTTTCTCAAAGAATTGGAGACTGACTGGTAACTATAGGTATACTTACAAGGTTTTTCTGCACCATCACTTAGTTTGCCTTCTGTATTTCGAGTATTTACATCACTAGTGCTTTCACAGATTTCTAAGTTATCTTGGGAAGCTAAAACAAATACATAACGTTATACAGTTTCATATGAGTATTGATTATTTTTATGCTGCAATTTTGTTTAGCTGTTCTTTGTGCGGAACATAACACAGGCTTGGTACTATGTGCACTTTTTCCACACAAATAGAACATTTTGATAGTTAAAGAAATATTCTCTTGCCTTCTTCCAAAATACAGTAAGATGCGTCAGCAGCTTCGCAAACATCCATTTCGAACGATTATTTATTTCAGAAGTTTTTTTGAAATCATTTAATTATTGATTAATCACAAAATGATAGGTTACATCTAGACAATATCATACAGATTTAGTAGTAATAGTCAATCTTATAATATTATAAATTATAATATTTTATTTTTATTTTTAACCAATAAAAACAAACATCGAAATAATTTTGACATCTCGTTGACGGATGTCTGAATCTTAATTTATTGACACTTGACAGGAGCTCAAAAACCAGCTGACAACTGATAATGTTCGAGTTTCTGTACCATACACTTTGAGCATTTTATTATGTTACCTCTCTTTTCTTAACAGAGTAAATTGCTCCATCTCAGTCGCCCATTGTCAATGTCAACAATAAACAATGTTATTGTCGGCATTCGGTACGATCTTTTTGCGGATTTTATGATTTAAATAATAATAAATGTTGTTTATTCGTTGAAATACAGTATTGAAAAAACATGGATAAACAAAAACTTGTTCTTTGGTTAAGTGAAACAGCAGCAAGTAGCGATGAAAGTGATTCAAGTGAATGGAGTGATGTTTGTACTGTAAAACAAGATGTTTCTGAAGATGAGGATATGAGTGATGCTGATGAAGATACTCTCTTTTTCCCTTTAATGCAATATTTAATAAGACTGAGACGGAAACGAGTAGATGATTATTTACACATCATAGACTCATGGACAGACGCGGAATTTAAAAATAGGATGAGATTATCTAGGAAAACTGCGTACCGGCTCATTGGTAACTGCTTACTGCTGAATGTAAATTACAAATGTATTTTCAAATTGCCTAAAGGTGGTTTTTAACAAAAAAAAATTAATTTGTTTCAGATGAACTGGAGAAATCAGGATTTATAGCCTCTCATAAGTTTGGATTAAAACCATTGGAACCTAAGCTTTGCTTCTACATATTTTTATCTTTTATTGCAAATTCAGAGCCACTTACTCCAATCGCAACAAGATTCGATATTTCAATCTCATCCACATTCAGAGTTATAAGGAGAGTAGTTGCATGGATCCTTACAAAATTAAATGACGCTATAAAATGGCCTCAAACATTTGAAGAAATTAGTTACATCTGTGATGCATTTCACACTAAGACTGGAATTACCCATATGGTAGGAATAATTGACTGTACACATATTAAAATAGAGAAACCCAAGAATGCAAGAGAATATTGCAATCCTAAAGGATATTTCTCTGTGATTCTTCAAGCTACAATAGATGCAAATCTTAGATTTACTAATGTATTTTGTGGAGAACCTGGGTCTTCTAATTGTACTAGAGTTCTCAAGAAGTCACCATTGTATAATACAGCATCTCAAAACAGAAATGCTTTATTCCCACATAACACTTTCCTAGTTGGACATTCAAGTTATCCTTCTTTACCATGGCTAATGCCACCATTTAGAGAAAATAAAAGATTAACACCACAACAGAGGGAATTCAATTCCTTGCATTTATCTACTAGGAAATTAAGTGATAAAGCATTCAGTCTTCTAAAGGGAAGGTTTAGGAGAATAAAACTATTTACTGTGTATAGAAATATAGCCTTTATAACAGATACCATTGTAGCTGCATGTATTCTACATAATAATTGTGTTGAAGAAAATGATCTCTTGGAAGAACATGAATAAATAAAATTTTGAATTTTCACAATTTCAATTGATTGTAAAAAAATAAAATGTAAATGAAGTATTATCATAAATTACTTTTATAAAAATTTGGTCTCACACACAAGAGTTGAATTCATGTGGAAAGGTATATTTATATTGCATATTTAATTTTATAAACGAAACTTAATCATCTCAATAGAATTTTGTTTTTATTGCCTCATTAAATCCTGATCGGCTACCAACTTTCTCAGAAGTGCACACTTTTCCCTTTCGATTTTTAACATTTCCTCTTGTTTTTGTTCTTTGAGTTGTAATTTTTTTAATGCTAATGATTGCTTTATTTCCAGTTCTTTTTTTCTTAATTGTAATTCTTCTTGTCTCAGCCTTAAGTTTCTTTCATATCTTTCATCTCTTAATTGTTTTTGATCTTCTTGTTTCCTTAAATAGTCTAGCCATTGTTTATCTAATTCTATTTTTGCCCTTCTTTCTGCCCTCAACCGTCTGAAAGGTGTTGAACTTTTGAGGGACATATTTCTTTTATTTTTATCTTTGTCTAAATCGTCTGAACCTTGCATTACACCTGAAGCCAGTCTGTAAGTTCCAGTATTATCACTATATCGCCCCAGAATTTGATGCATTTCATTAAAATATTTAAAACTCATTGCCCCTTGTCCATTGTCAATGCAATCTTTGTACTTCTTTGTAAGAGCATTTATTTTCCATCTGACTTGGTCTGCAGTTACCTGGAATATACAATTATTTTATGTACCATTCTGATACACTTAAAGACAACTAAAAATAAACTACAGACTTAAAACACACCTCAACATTCAATGATTTTAATTCCTCTGCTATTGAAAGCCACATTTTAGATTTCTTTTTTGGGTTGTCGAGCATATGCATTTTTGTTTCATATAGACTTAAAAGCATTAGTGTTGCATTTTTTGTCCAAATTACATCTGCAATGTGAAAAACATAAATCAATAAATGATGGAGAATAAATGGAAATTCTTTTGCATAAACAAATAGAAGTTTATACATACTTTGTTTATTAGTTTCATTTACATCAGTTTCTTCTTGAGTTATGGTATGACTGTGGGTATAGGTTGTCATAGTCATGTTTGGTTTGTATGCTGCAGCTGAAATATTGTAAATTTTATAAATTAGCATTGTTAATAAAATATATTTATTATATAGATATAGAAGAGAAGAAAAGATAACACCAATCACATATTAAATCCTTTACAACTTTGTTTGTTTGTTTACTCACATTGGTTGTCCAAAATAGCCAAAACAGCAACATTGCTATCAATGTTTTCATCCATTTTGTGTCGACTATTTGGGCGTTTTCCAACTAGTTACAGAAAGGACACAGAAATATTTTTAAAACTCCCATTTATGCAGATTTATTTGGCTGTGCCTAAGAAATTAGATGTCAAATATATTCCACTTTATGTATAAAATTTGATTCACTTGCTGTTATGCCTCAATCTAACAAATGAGCAGAGTAAAATAATAATTGAAAAATTAATCCTCCAACACAGCGATCTCGAATTCGTAATGTCAATTGTCAAAATTATTTGACAATTGTTTGACAACACTGGTGTAAGTTTGAGAGTACAAATCTGTAAATGTCCATATCCACAGCAAGAATTTATCAGATTTTGAGCATTATTAATGTAATAATCGACTAAAAGTTTGGCATTGTTAATATTTTTGGTAGATCTTGAGATTGTTATTTAGAAATGACTAATTTATACCAGTTGTTAAAAATGATTATTGGGTAAAATCATCATAAATCATTGCTTAAAATTGTGCGAAAACTAAAGCGAAAATAGATTACGTTTCGATTGGTTTCGTACATACGTTTACTTTTGATTTATGTGGTCTATGCGTCTAAAAATGACATTGACAGTTTATCTAATTTGCTTGACATGACATTCGTTTGCTCGGTGACGTGACGTGACATCGGGCGATTTGTGCATTTGCAAAATTGCATTTAAAAAAAATAATTAAATAAATGTTATTTTAAAATAAATCATCTACATTTACAATAATAACATAAAAATGGCCAAGTGTGGTGACTTTATTAAAAGTCAATTCCCACTTATTGATGAAGAATTGATGAAATATGTTGAAGGTATGTTTTGTGTAGGTTATAAAGAGAAATATTATTTTTATTTCTAATAATGATTATATTGCTTTTTACCGCTTAATTTAGAATTATTTTAAGGGATGTATTAGGCTTATAACCGTTGGATGATCACCGATTACCTACTGTAACTTATTTTCGTGTTTAACATTTTGACAGTTAATTAATTTGGTTTCTTCCAGACATACTGGACAGCAGTGCTGGTGAGTTTGAGGACACGGAGGAAGTCTACGAGGCAGTAGGAGAAGTACTCCAAGGAATCTCTGAAAAATCGGAAAAAGATATAAGGTTCATTCACTTTGCTCTTATATTTCCATAATATTGCACAATTATTGTTAATCAAGAAACAATAATACTATAAGTTGTCGTTATGTGAATTATTACACAATTGATATGTAACAGAGAGCACAATGTTGTTGATAGTGTAATAATAAAAATATAAACATTATTTTAGTTGAATTTGAATTGTTAATTGATAAGAATGATATCTTTTTAATACAAAAAACTTCTATTAATTATTAGGAAATTACTTTTAAAGCTTAAAATTTTTATAACACATAGTTTAAATAGAATAGCCAACAGTTAATTACCAAATGAATTTTTTTAGTTAATTAACATTTAACATGTGTAATAAACATCCCATAGTTATCATCAACTAACTTGAATGAAAGGCCATGTAAAATCAAATTAACAGTATTATTGCAAATAATTTGCGTTCAACAGAGACTTTTATGTCTTGTAATCTTCCCATACTATATTGTCATCAATAATATGGAATGAAAATCATTATAAAAATTGTTTTTACATTAAAAATTTCCCACAGGGACATATGTGAAAAACTACTGCATATGCTTCAGCCTGACAAACCGGGCAGTAGCAATGGACCCAGGAAAGTATTGGATGCTCCAATACACCTCGCCTCCATGGCCGCACCTGTTACAGAAACTGAGGATCTCCGAAGTATATGGATAAATACTAGAGATGATAATTTGGTATGTTATTTTATTCACTGATCTTGATTATGCGTTATGTGATGTTATGAAGAAAGTTACGTAATTGTTATGTTTAAAACCAATTATTGTTTTATAATTTTGAAATGAGTAACTTATCGAGAATCTTGCTCATTCTTCTCTACTTGAATCTACATTTTTGGAACAAACACCTCGCTTCACTGACGGTTGGACTGACAGACTTATTTATTGTATATTTAAATATATATTTAAACTATGGTTTAATTGGAATAAATGCGAGATGAGTTTAATTGAATAATAAAGTCTTCAATATTAAAAAATAATCTTGTGCAATCCTACTTATTCATGTGATTGATTAAATTATCTGAGGATAACACATTGTTATAAGCAATGATTTTACATTTAAAAGATAGTACAGCAAGACATTAGTTCTCTCTCTCTCTCTCTCTCTTTTATAAGCTATAATTAAATTTTGGCCGAGTGGTCGCAAGTGCGACTGCCGGGCATGGGGTCTCGGGTTCGATTCCAGGGTCGGGCAAAGTATTAGTGGGTTTTTAAAAATCTCAGTAGTAGCACGAAGTCTGGAAATGTGCCCGATAAAATATGGCAATAGGCTCACCCCCTCCTATACATGACTCATAACATAAATAGTGAAAAGTGGGTGTTACATTGTTCAGTGGCATTAAGCGCCGAAATGTGCACCTCTGCCTATCCCTTCGGGGATAAATAGGCGTGATGTTAAGTTATGATGTAAATTATTTATAATTTTTTGTTTCATAGTAGCAATATGTGAAATATATTGTTCAACAGCTGTAATAATATTAGTTTATTATAAATTATTAGTCTAACATAAGTACACACTCAACATAGAAAGCTTAATTATTTTATCACATTGTCATACATGCCTACCGTAATAATTCATAAAAGTTTAAAATATTAATTCACAGAAAGTTGATGCAAAAAAATTAGAAAAGGCTGAAGCGAAATTACAGCAGAAACAACAAAAGCAGAAAGATTCGAAGGTACCAAGCGCAGTGCCTGTACTTCAGACTGCTACGGCCTCACAGGTGACGTCAAAGAAGGATAGCAAGTTGGAGGCCAAAGGAACCAACAGAACTCAGGACATAAGGATAGAGAACTTCGACATAGCATATGGTGACAGGTAAGGTTTTATGATATTGTTTTCCGAGTCCCTAAAAATTTATCTAAAAGTTGTTGTTGGTTTTGTTTATCTGAATAGGTTGTGTTATTAAAATAGCAATAGTTGATATAACAATACATCCACTATTTTCCGTATGGGTTGCAAAAGTGCACATTTTAAATGTATCCCGTATGTCACATAGCTATGTCATCATCACATTAGGAAGGGCGGCCTCATTTCCATGTACTGGGCACTGGACAATTACAGATGTTTTCGTAAAGAGATTATATTCATATGTCTATGGGCGGCGCTGATCGCTTATCAGCAGGTGATCTGTCTGCTTGTTTGCCTCCTATTCCGTAAAACAATATTCTTACTAAGGCTTGAACTCGAATAAGTTAGTACTTATGCAATAAGACAGCAATAAATGTGTAATCAGTATTAATACATTGCATTTTAGCCACTTCTCTAATAAAAACAATTTGTTTCAGAGTATTACTGCAAGGCGCTGACCTTGTCCTTGCATTTGGCCGACGGTATGGCCTCGTAGGACGTAACGGGCTCGGCAAGACCACACTCCTGCGGATGATCGCATCCAAACAACTAAAGATTCCATCTCATATATCAATACTACATGTAGAGCAAGAAGTAGTGGGAGATGATACCGTGGCACTACAGAGTGTCTTAGAATGTGACACCACTAGAGAATATTTGTTGAAACGCGAGAAGGAAATTACTACTATGATTAATACTGGGTAAGTTGTAATAGTTGCACAATTTATTTCTTGAAATATTTTAACATTGAATATAACTCCATCTTTTTACCAGTTATAATTATGGCTTCTGCATGCAGTAATAATGTGTTGAATTCAAGTTTAAATAGATCATTCAGTAACGGACAGAGAGCTTGACAAAAAACCTACATCGATTCAGATCTAGATATTATGGATTTAGACCGGTTATTAATTTCGCCCGTGATCTTTCCTCTTCAATGGAGAATGCTTTGTAATTTTCCTCATCACCTAAAAAAATGGATGTTTCTTTCTTTTACACCGAGTTCAAATAATTATCTTATTTGAGAATGTATACAATAGTCAGTGCCTTTGTTTCTCCTTGCCATAAACTTGTTTGCCATGGAAACGATCATAATAAGTACCTACTTAAAGTGCATCCCATACTGCAGTCTATAGGTCTTGTACAACCAGTTACCTGTTTGTTTAGCAACTTTATAATAAGACAAATACAAACTTGAAACTGATGCAATCTGAAATGAATATTTCTTCATGCGTACCTGTTATGGTTTTACATTAATTTACATAAATAATGCATTGAATAAGTGAAAATTAAATTATACATATTACAATGTTTTAAGTATTACGCTAGTACAAAATGAATCATATAAATGTGTATTGCAACTATTGAATTGATTTATGCATCTTGTAATGATAGATATAAACCGTAACATATTAGTTTATTTACAGTATTCGATATGGGGCCAAGTGGCCTGAAATAATTGGATAAAAATATAAAGAAGAAAATATAATCAACTTTAGAGGTTAAAACTAAGTTTATCGTTTACACATCACAGACAGGCCGAATAGACCAACAGTTGATAGTATAGATCATGCAAATTATATTTATAACTAGCGGCGCGCCCTGGTTTCGCACGGGCGCAATTAGAAACCTCTAAATTTATTAGTATTTCTCTACTATATTATGCATGTATTATATAAACAATAATGAAGAAACACTCTATCTTTAAAAAAAACCGCATCACAATCCGTTGCGTAGTTTTAAAGATCTAAGCATACATAGGGACAGACAGACGGCAGATAGCGACTATGTTTTATACTATGTAGTGATTGTACCGTATGGCGCGTCAAGTGGTTGTTACTTCTATAGCTTGGCCACAGTTTGAGTCCAGCCTGTATCATTACTTTACATTAACATTACTTTCGAAATTTAACAATTTCTACTTTTGGTTAAACCTGATAAAAAAAATAAAGGCTAAGTAAGTCCTTTCCAAGTTTCAACTGGCATTCAGACTGGCGTTGAAGGCTCACATTCGGCAGTGGATGTCTTCTAACTGATGATAATCCTTACTAATATTATAAATTGTAAAGTGAGTTTGTTTGTTTGTTCTGCTTTCACGCCGTAACTTCTAAACCGATTGCTTTGATTTTTTGCAGACGTAAAGTTAAAAGTCTGGATTAAATAATAGGGTACTTTTTATCTCGGAAAAATTTGATATTCCCGAGGGAAAACTAAAGTATTGGTATAGATGGCGCTGTGTGTATTGGTATATGTCACATAGGCTCCTTTTTATCCTTTTGTGACGCGAGCGAAGCCGCTAGGGTAGCGGTAGGGCGAAGGGTAAAAAAGCTACTTATGAAATAATTTAATTTGTCCCCAGCTCAACAGACCCCAGTCTATCAAATGAGCTTAGTGACATATACGCCCAACTGGAAAATATAGAGGCTGATAAGGCGCCGGCGCGGGCCTCTATCATCCTCAGTGGTTTGGGTTTCACACCGGAGATGCAGACCAGAGCCACCAAGACATTCTCTGGAGGATGGCGGATGAGGCTTGCACTGGCCCGGGCGTTGTTCTCTAAGTAAGTTTATATTACAACTGTCTATATGGTGCTTAGACTTAGATTCTAGTTATATACTCACAATGAGGTAGATATCGGTGTATTTAAAAAAAATTGTAACACAATAGGTACTGTCAGTATTATTATTTGCAAAACATTAACCTCCCTCTATGCTTTGCACCTTGTTTGTCTTGAATCAAAAGGAAAGTATACTTTTAAGTTTTATTATCAGTCCAATCTTAAACACCATTATCCATAGCCAAACACAGCAAACTATATTCATAGATAAGTTTACAAAAATATTCGCCTCTAAAACTATAATTCTCCCACAGACCCGACCTCCTCCTACTCGACGAGCCGACGAACATGTTGGACATTAAAGCTATCATCTGGTTGGAGAACTACCTTCAGAACTGGCCGACGACACTACTGGTAGTGTCTCACGACAGAAACTTCCTCGACACCGTGCCCACAGATATCATGCATTTACATACACAGCGGATAGATACTTACAGGTAGTTTTTGGAATTATAATTAACCATAACTGGCGTTAAAATCAATATTCCTTATCGTAGTTTATCAATTTGACTGTGCGGGTTGGTGTAGTGGTTGGGTGGAAAAATGCATCTGATTTTTGATTGAAAGATTTTGAAGTTACTCGAGCTAGTCGACCTTCTGGGTGCGGCCGACTAAATGTACTGAACCATACCAAGTCCCAAGTATTGGAATTTAGATTTACATTGACACTACTGTCAAATTACCATGTAGATATCACATGAAAATGGGATTGTTGAGCTAACAATGGTCTCTCAAATTTGGAGTTCACTGGTTGGCTCAGTTGCGACAAGAGAACAGATAACTCTACCGCCTTTTTGAGTCATAAAAATCTGCCTATAACCACAAAATGCCAAATTCTAGAGGTAACTACGAGCAGTTCCACAAGACAAAGACGGAGAAGCACAAGAACCAACAGCGCGAGTACGAGGCGCAGCAACAACATCGCGCGCACACGCAGGAGTTCATCGACAGGTTCCGGTACAACGCCAACCGCGCCTCCTCCGTGCAGAGCAAGATCAAGATGCTGGATAAACTGTGAGTATGACATTAATTGTTACCTACCTACTATCATAGTACAACATATAAATACAAAAATATTTATTCACAAAACTAGCTGATCCGGCAATCTTCGTACCGCCTTCAACATTTTTTGACCTTTTAAACCTTCTCTGGATTTCCACGGACATTTCAAGCCCAAAATTAGTCAAATCGGTTCAGCTGTTCTCGTATTATAACGAGAATAATGAACGGAAATTCATTTTTACTTATATAGATAGATAGATAGATTCCTATGAACTCTGGTTTCCTAGTTAGGCCTGTGTTTCGAAAGTGAATAATAAAGATGAAACGAGTGCACCAGTCATGAATATGCGTCCCATTTTTACTTGAAATTAGTAGAGCTTTACTTTCATTACTTTTCAAGATATTTCACCACATTAAATACCCTTTTTGATAAAAATTCACTTTTCTCCTATCACGATCCGGTTTCAAGTAATAATACCAATATGTATTTAATTACAGGCCCGAATTAAAACCGGTGGAAAAAGAAATCGAGGTTGTCCTTCGGTTCCCGGAGGTGGAGCCACTCTCGCCGCCCATACTACAACTGAATGAAGTCGGATTCTACTACTCTAAGGACAAGATCATTTTCTCAGATGTCAACCTTGGCGCGACGCTCGAGTCCCGAATATGTATTGTAAGTAGTTGTCACTATTAACATTTAAATATCTACCATAGATCGAAACTTCTCATTTTTCAGGTGTTTTTTATTTTTTATAAATAAATTGTATTTCTCCACGGACTTCTTCAGGTGTGTATAAGAGCCGACTAAGAGACTACACATTTTACATAGACTGAGCAACAGCCCTCTCTGAATCTTTTAAAAACTGATCTCCAAATCTGCATGCCAAACATGGAGTTTATAGCAATACCCTTTCATTTAGAAATCGCCCCTACACCCGAATAATGAAAGGCTACTTGATTTTACGTCGCGATTAAGTGTAGTTGTCACTATAAATCTTCTATACATATAATAAAATCATAGAAACCACAAAACTGTACATTGTACAAATACTTGGAGCGTGATCTACAATCGATGCCGAAGCCAAAAACAAGGTTTTTAGAATTTTTGTCTGTTTGTCTGTATGTATGTCCGGGATGATCTCAAAAAGTACTGCATGGATTTACTTCAAATTTTACATGAATATTACTAACAAGTCGAGTCAACATATAGGCTACATATCATTATGCTATCATCTACGGGGGAGGAACCGTATACTAGGTACTTTATCAATTCTGACGACATTCGTTACCGTAGCATATCCCTTGGTAAAGACTAATTCAAAAGCATACATTCTACCAGAAGTCATTATTCTACGCGGACGAAATCGGGGGCAACAACGACGGACGAAATCTAGTTCTGAATAAAATGACAGAGATGGCACTATATTTCTTAATAATAATTATTAATTCTTAATAATAATTATTTCTATATAACTTATAATTAAGTAGCCTTTCAGTATTTGGGCGATAGTCTAGCAATGGACTATTATGGGCCATAGATGATAATGATGACCCCTATCCCATAAAAAAACCTACTACATTTCGTCCGACCTGGGTGCTTAGTCTTGAATATAATGTCAATGCAATTTCAATCCAATAAAATCTCAATAATTATTCAATGTCAAAACTATACAACCCCTATCGTAGCTGTTAAAATAGCATTCAGAGTACGGACTATAAAGCCAAACTCAATACCATTTAGTTCATTCAATATTCACGCAATACGGATGCAATGGGCGCTAGTGTTGCAATGCAACTCCAGAGTACGAAATTTCACAATACCGAGGTCGATCGATCGGAATAGGGTAGTTGCCTAAATTTTATTTTAATATAGTGTCTGGTAGATTAATTTAAAACATTAGACAAGTATTTTTTTCTTTTCTCACAAAATTAAATACATTCGACGATATATTAATCCGAAATATCGCATGACGTAACGACCTCCTACTCCTAAACTTCACTCCATTTTATCTAAGTATTGTAACTTTATATGAGAAAGTAAAAAATACGTGTCTAATATTTTTTCATTATCTAACTGACGGACTATTTACATTTTTAATCTTCTTTCCCTGGAACTGCCAGGGTTCAAGAGTAAGTCTTAAGCACTATCCTACACTTCTTCACAACAATTCTTAAATCCCATAGCATTAAAAACAGAACTTAAATTCCATGAATAAGTGCTTAAAATACAAATTTCTTAAAGTAATTGATAATCTCATGATCGTTTTATTGAACAATTAAATGAATCGTGAGAAACATGTTACAATAGACGGCCCTGATTGACAGTTTAAAGACACGGTAACATGAACGACTATTAAAGTGTTTCTGTTTTACCCGACTTCACAAAAAGGAGTGTAATTGCTGTGGGAACTAGTTTGTTATTGACTACAATAGTGCAGATGTAATTTCGTGTAATAATTTGATTACAGTGCTGATCAGTGTTTACGGTTTTCTTAGATTGTTTGGTGTTTTGTTGTATAAGTGATAGGTTCAGATTCGATTTTTTGTTTTGCACAGTTGGCGTGGTGGTTGGGCAACTGGCTGCCGCGCTACGTGTCGCGGGTTCGATTCTCGCACGTAACAACTCTTTGTGTGATCCACAGATTTTTGTGCCGGGTCTGGGTGTGATGTGTATGTGAACTTGTATGTTTGTAAACGCACACACGTCGCAGGAGAAAAACCTAGTGTGTAGCAACGTTTTTTTTTTTAAAAAAAAGATTTTTTATTTTGTAGTTACAAAGGATCTTAAAGAGATTGACTGTGCCGGCATTTGGCAATCAGATCGTTGGTTCCAAGGTCAACTTTGTGTAGAAATTCTTAGCTACTTATTTCACAAATAAACCTAAATAAAATATGATTCCTGTTATATCCCATGGGATCATTTAATTGGGATCAAAAGTATCCTATGACCTAAGTCAACCCATACCCTGCCTATCCGTTCAGTAGTTTCACCGTGATTGACGGACAAACATCCAAACAAAGAAACTTTCATATTTATAATATTAGTGTGATGTTTCTTAAGAATCACTATCATTTATTGAAAACTGTATCAAATACCATTTAGTAGTATTTTTTTATTTATGCACAACATACAGTACACAGGAGAATACATATATAAATAAATTGGAGGTACATAGGTACTACATATTCCCGTAGGAATCTCTTTCTGCAGTCCTTCGACAGGACAAACAGCAAAAACTAAGACACAGTGTGTAACATGGCATGAACAAAAAAACCAACGTTAATATTTTATGTTAATGTTATATTATTAGTTTATGGGTTTTTCGTGAACAAACAGAGCAGACATTTTATTTTAATATATTGTAAGTAAAACTAAATTTTGTTATTCTAGGTTGGTGACAATGGTGCCGGTAAGACAACGTTATTAAAAATAATAATGGGTATACTGTCACCCACCAGTGGGATACGAAGCGTGCACAGAGGACTGAAATTCGGCTACTTCTCCCAACATCACGTCGACCAATTGGAAATGAATGTCAATTCTGTAGAACTCCTACAAAAGAGCTATCCAGGTATCTAAATATGAACCTTATTGTTTGAGTATTAAGTGCATTTTAGTTTGTTTTTATTAGAACGATAAAGTTCATTTTAGTTTGCTTTTGTTGTTACTATTTCATAAGAAGGTTAATTGATTCGTTCTGCACGCTGAGTCATTTTAATTAAAGAGTTACCTTTTTTATAAGTGTTTATGGTTTATTTTTGTTTGTATCTGTTTTTGTGTTTATACGAATTTAGTGTTCTTAAGTAAAAACTTCAATTGTGATTTGTTAATAGAATAATTCAATAATATTAATGACTTGTTATAAAAACACGGATACAATAAATAATAGTCATCATTATCCCTTAACGGCTGAATAGTCGTAAACGTGACTGCTATGGGGTCTCAGGTTTGATTCCCTAGTCGGCCTCGTAGTCGCTCGTAACCCCTGCTAAAGGTTAGCAATGCACTTATAACTCTGGACTAGCAGACGTCTATGAGCGGCGATGATGGTGGCCCATATACACATTTGCAGTTTCACTCTTATCTTGATAATGTAATTTTTCGTAAAATTTTATTACATACTTCTCGTTTCAGGCAAAACAATAGAAGAATACAGAAGACAGTTAGGCAGTTTCGGCGTCAGTGGCGACCTCGCGTTACAAACCATCGCCAGTTTGTCCGGAGGGCAGAAGTCAAGAGTGGCCTTCGCCAGGATGTGTATGGGCAACCCCAACTTCTTAGTACTCGACGAACCTACTAACCATTTGGACATTGAGACCATCGAGGCGTTAGGAAAGGCTATTACTAAATATACGGTGAGTTTTTAGTAATATTTTTAACTAGCGACCCGCCCCGGCTTTGCACGGGTGTAATGTGCACGTTTTGTACATATAAACCTTCCTTAAGAATCACTCTAATCTATCAAAAAAAAACCGCATCAAAACCCGTTGCGTAGTTTTAAAGATCTAAGCATACATAGGGACAGACAGATGGCGGATAGCGACTTTGTTTTTACTATTTAGTGGTAATGCTTTGTTTGAAGTAGTTCATTATATTAAAATAAGACTGCTTTTATGATTGATTGCTCGCCTCTGCTAATCAAATGGTCTTGGGTTCGATTCCTGCGTTTGAATATTGGTGTCTTTGATATCGAAAAATCTCAGTATTAGGTTCGCCCATTTTAGATGAGATGGAAATTGTAATATAAGCAGAAAAAAATAGTGTTATGGTGCGTCTACACAAGTATCAAGTTAGGCGTGGCATCGCCAGGTATGGATGCACCATTACATTTTAATATATCTACTAGTGCCTACCCTTTTGAGGTATAAAACACATGCTGATGTGATAATAATAAATAATAAACCCATTCAAATAAACAACAAAACCCATTATCCTGTTGTTTCCATTAATATTCCAAGCATTCCATTGTTCTTTAACTAAACAACATCAATAATGTTCCAGGGCGGTGTTATCCTGGTATCTCACGACGAGAGGTTAATACGAATGGTCTGCAAGGAGCTATGGGTGTGTGGAAACGGCTCTGTGACCAGTATAGAAGGAGGATTCGACGAATATCGCAAGATCGTCGAGAGAGAACTAGAAGTACAGAATAAGTAGACCAATTATAGCTGGAATTGTAGTTCTGTGTCGTGTCGTACGTGTCGCATATGTCGTGTTAGGGTGGGGACACAACATCGTTGTGACGCGATAAAAGTCTATGACGTGTAGAATGTTTTCTCAATCAACTATTAAATTAGGTTTTTAAAACTCTTTTTTTTTATTAAAAATGCACTGCCATTGATTAATTTGATAGTATACCTAATTTTCGTATTTTTATACTATAAGTATTCTACATGATGCAAAAATATTATTGTGTATAAGTTGGTAGGTACATCTGTTGGATTATAGTTTTTTTTTAATTATGACTGACTGACTGATTGACTGCCTCATTGGCCGAGTGGTTGCAAGTGCGACTGCCGGGCAAGGGGTCTCGGGTTCGATTCCCGAGTCGGGCAAAATATTACTGGGTTTAAAAAATTCTCAGTAGTAGTACGGTTTCTGGTATTGTGGTATATGGCAATAGGCTCACCCCCTATTACATGGGTCTCATTACATAAAAAGTGAAAAGTGGGTCTTACATTATTAGTGGCATAATGTGCTCCTCTGCCTACCCCTTCGGGGATAAAAGGCGTGATGTTATGTATTTTAATTATGAAAAAAGTAATTGGAATCTACCCCATTTGCGGTACATTACTGTATCATGCAAAATGAATTGATCGTGCCGTATTGTTCATCTTGTCGTACTAGTACGACGTTTTATCGGATGAAAATTTTTGCGTTGATTGTATTGTGACGTCATCGTAACGTAGTGTTGTGACCTCGCCCTTAATAGTCAATGTATACCTTTTTGTAGGCTGATTATTATATTAATGTGTGTTACGGTGTGAAGCTCTCGCTTTGTCCCTTTCTCCTTGAGCCGTCCTGTTACTAAAATACCGTTCTAAAGTTTATACAATTTTGAGTTTTAATTGCTTTGGTATAGAGATCTTTCTGCTTTGTTTTCCTTTCTTTTTTGAATTTTCCAGTAATTATGTAGACTGATCTAATCAATAATGATATTTAACTTAATTTAATGTTACTAATTGTATAGATACTTATTCTAACTGAATTTATTGGTTCTTGTAATATTACTCAAAATGAAATTTTTGTACTTTAGAGGCGATTTTAATAGCAGCACGGTAGAATATTTTGATGGTAACATTGTCAAGACGACACGTCCGTACGACACGACACAAAGCTGTCGTTCTCGCTTATCGCAATTCACACCTACACATGTATACATTATATCCATGTAAAAAGTAACCTTAAATTATATCGTTGTAATATATTTAGTGTTTCATTAATTTATACTTACTGCATACATATACACATGGTTCTTGAAGGAGAAATGAAAAACTTATTAATATCAATGCAAATTTTTATTTATACCTTCAACCTCTCTCTCACTTTGTCTCCATTAAATACCTTCAGCATACATAAAACGCGTTGTTCGAAATATTCGAAAATATCGATGGCAATTAAAAAAATATAATTAACTTAAAATGCATATTTACAAATCAATGATCAATACATAATATACAATTAAAATAATGACTAAAATAGGAAGAAATTAAATTATTCAGTAGAATAGAACGAATTGAACTCAATTTCAGGCAGTAAAATAGTACAAACTACGTTGAGACGTACAAAGGTGCTCTGGCTAAATGCAAGAATATTTCATACGAAATAAGTTGACGAACGTGACATCGGAGGGAAGGGTATTGTGAAAGTTCAATAAATTAAAATTGATTATAGGATACATACATAAATATACTGGTATACGACAACTATACCGGTTATTATGGCAATTTGTGATTGTGAATAATATAGGTAAAAATTAAAAGTTACACTACCAGATCACAAATACTAATCTAAATTACTTATGTCCAGTTGGCAATGACAAATGGCTGTTGATCACTCGACTCTTACTGAGAGTAAGAGGGGTCGATGAAATAAAATATTTATTGGTGTTTCTTGCGCCTAGGTTTAGTTTTGTCGGCGTTCCTCAATACTTCAGCGTAGGAAAGCTCCAGCTTCCTCAGTTTGTGTATTTCTTGTGACGCCGTACTCTGTTTGATGTCCCACGAGTCAGTCTCGGGGTTCCATCCTTGGTAAATTTTGCCCGTCCGGCCGCTTGCGCTGGGTGTTGGAGAATTCATGTTCCTGTTGTAAAACTGTAGCGTGGAACCGTTCCACTCGCTCTCGGCTGCCCTGACAAGGGGACTCGCCTCAATCGGCCTGTAGTCCCTCCTCTTCTTGTTCGATGACTTCTGGTACGTGATCTTAGGTGGTGACGGGAATACTGGAGAGTCTGCGCCCTGCCGGTCTTGGCTATGTTTTCTGTTGCGATGTCTGGACTTCTTTCTAGTGGCCGCTATGTATTCTAGTGGCTGACGCACCAACGGAGTCAGGACCCGTTCTTTCTCATCCTTCTTTTCTTTTTCGGTTTCTCTTTCTTTCTCCTTTTCTTGCTCCCTTTGCATGCTCTGGTCTCTCACTTTTGAGTGGCTTTGCTCTTTAGTCTGGCGTGCGGAACTTGGTTTTGGCTTATCCGTGGTGCTTTCCGCCACAGGTTTGTTCTCTTTGTTGCTGTTTTCCTCCTTTTTGACCACTTCTGGCTGGGGTTTCTCTTTTTCCTTCAAAGTTGGTGTTTCAGGCATGGTAATATCAGACACTGGAATTGATTGTTCAGACATCACAGACGAAAATACGCTCTGCGTATCATCAGTGAAGTTGCCGGGCGCTTCCTCGTTCGCGGGAGTAACGGGTGGAACCTTGTCAGCCGTGGTATCATCGAGGAGTGGCAGTTGCTCTCCATCGTCTTTGTTCTCCGCCGCCTTCTTAAGGATGGTAAAGATTTCCTTGAATAGTTCGCGGTACTCTGGTCTGTTGCGGAATCGACTGTCCATGGGGCTAACGTCATCGTAAATACTGAAACGGTAGTCCTCACCGTCAGCGATTGTGCACAGGAATGAGCCCGGTCGCTCACGTTCCGTCTGTGTCGCTTTGTTGCTGGTCTCATCTGAAAATCCGGAGCTGGAAGTCTCTGCTTCCGAGAAGTCCGGAGTTTGTATAATCTTCTTTCGAGAAGTGGTATCAACCTTCTTTGTTTGGCCGACTCCTTTCTGTTCTTCACCGTGGCCGCTTTCCTCGTCAGTGTCCTTGACACTGAACTGACTGTAGTCTCCGGACGTTTGTAGTTCATCCTGAAGAGACAAAGGACCGCACGGGTTCTGATTGCTGGGCAAAGTGATGGGTTTGGTCTTTCTGATGTTCTTAACCTGTGACAGTTGAACTTCTAAAAGAGCCTCGTACTTTTGCACCAGTTCTCTGTAAGGGTTATCATGGCCATCTTCTTTGTTTGCCCATATACCTTGGAGTAACTTTTCCTTGGCATTCTGTAAAGTAATAGGGATTATTGGTTAATATTCTGAAACCAGTGAGACTACGATGACGAAGTACCTTGTAGTAGCACTTGTGATGTGTTGTAAAACATGTAATGCTTTGTTATATGACTGTGTTGAAATTATTCGAATGAAGTTATTTCAACATGGGCGCCGGCAGCTTGGTACAAAATTTCGAGGTCCTAGCCAAAAAATATTGAATCTTTCTAAAGCCCTTTTCTACACTTAACAGTTTTAGTGACCTTGGCCAGTTGGTCCACTATCAAATGTCAAGTAACTAGGCTTCCACAAACTCTGACAATTTTCTATACGACATGCCGTCGAGGAAAGGATGGCTTGAGACTGACCTCGAGCTTGCCAAAGGTAGGTATCTCAAAATTTAAAGGTTCTAATATACCTACATTGATCCTCCTTCGGAAATATATTTGTGAATTATTGGATAACGTGAATTAGCGTAGGAAGGATATTGATTTGGAATTGGATAATATGTAAAATATCTGCCTGAAAATAAATCGATGGTTCGCTCGAAAAATAAATCGATGGTCTAGAGAGCTTAAGTAATGACGCCTTATAAACGAGAGGTCTCGCCTAGACATGATATGCGTTTTCAAATTACCTACTTAAATTCTTTCTGACGGCGCTCATGTATTTGAAATAAATGTAAAGTCAACAACTGTTACTGAAAAGAAATCTAAGTTAGCAAAGAAGAAAAATGAACTTCGAACATGAAAATGATCTTTGGATAAAAACAAATACTTGATCAACTTATAATAATTAAATAAGAAAATTATAATGATTAGTCAAAAATACACCCATTACTCCGTGATGACATGATTAGTAAATTATTGATACACAACATTATTTATAGTATTAGCATTCTGCATGTTAGGTACACAAAAGCTAATACACCGTTACACAATGTGTTATGAATAACGTCACTCATTGTTGCAGTTATTATTGTTATAATTATACTTTCTGAATACCATAATTATTAATATCCCACATCCTTATTGTAACATATACACAATAAATCACACTGAGAATGTTAGTTACGAAGTGATGTTACCAACTTCGGTTACCGCCACCATTGAGTCGTTCAGCGTGCACTATTCGCGTTTAGTATAAAACGAGTCGGTAATGGACGTACCTTCGACTACATACGATATATCCAAAGAAAACTACTGCAAATGCGCTTCATAATGCATATGCAAAGCGTGATCAACAACATCAGGGGCAGTTGGAAAAGCTTTGTCGCCTAGAAACGAGCGAAATTCATATGAGATTGTTGGCGAAATCCGAGGCCAATGTTTTATTTATCCAACACGATCATCTTCGGTGGAAAAGTGGGAAAGTGGTTCGTGTCTCGACTGTTGAACAGTAGCATCAACAGTCTAGTACAAATGAATACTGTATGGGTCTGTCAATGGAATTCCACATTGTACTACACATCGATTAGTTTTAGCGTGTTAATGATGTTAGTCGATTTGCGTAATACGCAGAACTGTGAGTTAATGTTGTTACACAAGACAAGAAAATAAAAGGAAGATTAAATGTACACGTTGTTAATAACAGAAAAGAATTTCTACAAAAAGATAATAAAGCTTCAACAGATTCTTTAGACGTGCAAGGGGATTGTCGAAATACTTACGTCGAATTTGACAAGTTTGTTAGTAACAAGATCTTCCCGTGGACTGTCTTGGCCAGACGGAGGGAGGATTAGGGAGCTGATTGCGCTTCTATCGTCATCGTCTCCATCTAGCATTGAGGACATGTCATCGCCTCTCTCCACGCCTCTTAGGCATCTTATGCATAGTTGTCCTTGTCTGCAGAAAAGAAAGACTTTAGGTATTTGCCAATACATCTAATTAAAAGAAGGCTTAGAAGATAAAAGTATTCCTTACCTGACTTCTTCAAGGATAGCGAACTCCTCATGCATGGACTTGGGTTCGTCTTCTCGTTGTTGCCAGTTCCTGAACTGGTCGTTTAGTCTGTTGTTCTCCTGGATCATTGACGCCAACTGCTCTTCCAGTTCCGTCACCCTTCTTTGTTCTTGTGCAAAGGCTACCTTGCTCTCTCTGAGTTCATCGCTTAGCCTGAGTAAGTCCTCGTCCTCTTTAGTCAGTTCTGGAAGAGGTGCTACCGTTTTGACCGGTGTACTGTTTACATCAGGCTTCTTGACGCTTAGAGTAAGTTCGACTGATTTCTCTTTTTCTTTGGGTACTTCTACTTCTGTTTTCCGTTCTGCCCTTCGCCTAGAGATCTCCAGCTGGGCGTTCAGGTCATCGACAGTCTTTTGTAGATCTTCACATTTGTTCTCGAGTGTTTCAATATTGGCGCACAGACTGTAATCATAAATTAATTTGTGAGTCATGGTTTAAGTCGATAAGATAAAATGGGGTGAGGGATTCCGGTATGATAACCCTGGCTGATAAGTAATAAATATCTTTGTTATTAACTTACGTTTTAATGTGTTTCTTGTCGGCGGCATGGTCGACAGCTAGCCTATGGTTGGCTCGCTCCAAGTCTTGAATGCTAACTTCTAGTTGCTCGTAGATCCTCAACCTGGAGTCATTCACCTCACGGAGAGCGACCGTCTGTTTCGTTAAGTACTGAAATACAACATTTGTTTACATTAATTCAACGTTACTACAATGTTTTGAGGTAAATTATCCTGATAATGCGTAGGTACTCGGAATAATTCTGTGATTTAGATTGAACAATTTTTTGCCGTGGAACTGGTTTGAGTAAAATTGTTTGTTAGCGTAGCTCTCGTGGTTTCTGGTGTACGTAATTACAGTACTGTGAAGTTGAAATGGCAATCAAGATCGTCATTATGATTTACATTTTTTGAAATTGTGCATGACGATAGGGATAATGTGCCTATTACCAATAACTGTTTTGTTATTGTCATAGTTATTTTAGTTTTAGATTGGTTTATTTTGATATGCCATTTATATTTATCCTACGTGGTCTATAATAATGAATACTGACTTGTATGTTATTCATATTCATGTTACCGTTTATGAGTGATCCAAAAAAGTTTCCTTTGTGTTTCTTCATACTCAGATGTTTCGTGTCGTGTGGAAATTGAACCCATCAAGCAACAACAACCTTTACAACTTTACGATGTCTAGACCAACTATTACGTCCATACGTCTCTCGATTTCAAGTACGTATATACGTACTTCCATAGGCTACTGGTATTAGTTCAGTACTTGTCTTATAGTCAGTATTTATACTCAGTAGGTCTAAAAGTTTTTGGGGTCTAAATTAAGTAGATGCTCACCTCGATTTCTTGTGTTTGATCTTCAATGATGTTCTGGTGCTGACGCAGAGCTGTCTCGAGTTCCTTGTTCCTCTCCAATAGGGTCTTGCCGAGTTCTGCTGCCAACTGCAAATCTGCAACCAAAGGAAATTAATTTTTAATTTCAATGTGTAAAGACCTTCTTTTGTTCGTCTGTATGGGCGTGTGTATGAACTATTATTACTGAGATTAATATTTCTTTTTCTAGTAAGACATTTGTTTTAAAACGCCTTTATGCGCATTCAATTCACTATAGTTGACGTTGACTCAAGTCTCTAGATGTCGACTATTTAGGCCATACCTATCTGATTATTACGTGACGACGATATTATGTTAATGTTAATTCATCCATTCACAATAGATAATACTAGGTAGTCTAGAGTCTAGACGGACACGTTAAGACATTGGAATGTGCAAAGTGAAAGACGATAAAGATTGACGGAGAGTTGAACGAAGTTGTAGACCTGTCACAACACCAGAGCGGGATTAAAACTAAAGAGAGCGCTCCAGTCAAGCACCTCATAGGCGTCCCTAATTTTTTTGTCGCTGCCGCCTATCTATGGGCATTCTGGGTATCTTACCCACCTGGGCATGAGCGTCTCGACCGTCCATAGGCACTTGCCTAGTTTGCAACACACCATCGCATTGCTGCCTAAAGATGGAAGACGAGGTCTGGCGCGATGCGATAACTGTTACCTAGCCATGGCTAACTAAGCACCTGTCCTAAACCACCCAGACTTCACAACGACGCTTATTATAATAAGCAGTGTAGTCAACGTAAATTAGAACAATAGTCGCAACACTGCGTCTCCATCGATCCGCCCGTGAAAGGTTTTTGCCGCGTAACCTTGCGCGCAAAGAACAAAACGCTAAAGCATAAATTTCGTTCGAAATCCAGGTCAATGAGTACCTATGTATGGAGTTCGGAACGCACGTAGATGAAAGTTGATGGACATATTGAGGAAATTGTGATTTATTAGAGATAAATGACGGCGAAACATTCACTTGGAGAAGTGATAAATATTTTAATAATTATCATTAACTTCTTCATAGTTTGATTTGTTAGATTCAATTTACGAACGTTTAGCTCCATAGCTGTAGGAGGAAGTAATGAAATGCAAGAAATTTGAAGTGTTAAATGCGATAAGTCATTTGAAATTAAAATTATCATTAGCGCTAAGAAATACTCTTCGCTCTAAATCGTGTGAGTTATGCTATGTTGAATGCTTGTTTCATGTTTCATGGTACGAGGGACACGCCAACAACACTAGATTTAATTGGAAGCATTCGGATGCAACGTTAAATTTAAACCTGTATAATAAATACCCATCTTACATTTCACGGACGTCGATTTTTTGTCTGCTTAATTTTTGTAATTTTTTTCAGCAAACCGGTTTCGATCTCGTGTTTTTCGTAGCAAACCGCAAGTTTACCAGTCAGCCTGACGTATGATATTATAATGGTGGTGTTACAAAACTCGTTTAGGCCTCATGCCACACGCACACGCTATTAAGGAGTGAGAAAAAACAGACGCACGTTAGTTATGCACCAATGAAATTCAAAAATTACGTATTCCATAGTTATAACAACCGTATGAATATTACTGCGTAACGTATCTGTATGAGATTGGATTATATCCAATTGAAAAATACTTTTTACTTTTTAATTCGCGCCATAAACCAGTATTTTTGCTTTGCGGCGTCGTTTTTTTTTGCAATGGCGCTGGCGGGAGTTGCAAGTCAGCCACCTATTACTGATGTAAGATATTTTTAACTTGCAACATTGTTTCTAAACTGGCTTCCACGCGCTGGTCAAAGGCATGGAATTACGTCTATCGTTGTATTGCTACGTGTGTTTGACGGACGACTGGTATTACAAGTAATTGCTGTAACTGGCCGGCAAACGTGAGGAATCCAAGTACAAAAGCTGTACAAAGATTTAAATTACTGTGTATTTCGTTAATTTCCAAGTTCACGTTTTACGTTTTACTAAACTAGTAAATGTAGATAATGTAGTCTATTGTTAGCATTTATTTGTGTGTACCTACTACGAAGAATGCCTTCATAGTAGGTAGGTACCTACACATATTAGGTATTTCAAAATGTATGCCAGGTATTACTTCAAAAACAATAGAAAATACTTAAACAGCCTTCAATAAACCCTGTACCGCATTAAACCTAGCATGCCTGGTATTACTTTGCTTCCACGAATCTGAAAGCCGAACAGCCAAATGCACTTTCCATATAATTCAATCACTGAATCACTTAAATTCTATTACTAAGTAATTTCATTGCAGTTCATATTATGGAAACAATACGGACTCTCTCTTGGCAATCGAGGTTTTTTGCTAAGAATGTAATCTGCTATAACATAATGCGAAACTTTCTCGCACGATGATATTCAGATCAGCGAACCAGCGCACCGATTTGATCATCAGATCTTTCGAAGAGAAAATTATGAGTACGTACGAAGATGTTTTATAAACAGCATAACAATAGGAACTGAATGAACCGGCGGATATTCAAAGGAAACTCAAAAGATTACTGTTCCTTTATTCTCATGTTGTTGAAAAGAATGGACGTAAACATAGATGAGATTTTTGGTTTGCTAAAGCCTTCGAAAGAACTGAGAATATCTAAGGCTAAAGATCTACACTATAGTTCTTGTTGTAGATACACGTGGTCTAACAAGTAGGTACCTACCTAATACTTGATTTACGGATTCTGAAAATCCATATATATAATTACTTTACGGTGGAACATTACATTTACTATGATTATCATCACTAGACCGGAGATTAAGTTCCAGTAAATGCAAATTACTGACTAGCATGCTAATGCCGTATTTGTAGGAATAGTTGGGTACTTGAATAATATTGCCATAATCATTTCAAATATCATAACGGAATAAAAGCTAGATAGGCACAACAAAATAGTAATAGATTTAGATTTGCCTATTTCATGGCTAGAAGCCATAATACCGCAGACGTTTAACATTTCAATGCAAAATGATGACGGCACTATAATTTACCAAGTAAATGCTATAAAAACTGCTATTGTTCATCCGAAACGTATTGTCTTGGTATTGTCGCATGTCTATCGAGCGAACTGTCACATTTATCAATATGGCGGATGACAATGAGTCACAGAAGCACAATGGACGACCCCTGACTTATGACTTGACTTGAGCAACTACACGTTACGAATTTTTCGTTCTTTTCTTTAGTTAAAGAGTTAAGAAACATTTGATTGAGAAAGATTATAACAATATTTCATGGTTTTAGTGCAACTTATTGGTACTGTTATGCTAGCTTTGAGTACTTAGATATTCTTTATCTTATTGAGAAATATCATAAAGTCATAATAATTTATCTATTTATTTGTTTGAAATTAACTAAAATTGCTTCATGTAAATCTCAAAATCTGTTTAGATGTTAAAGTTAAAGGCGAATATAAGAAATTGGATTCACACCATTCTTTTTCCGTAATGACCTTTATGAGGCCTTTAGGTACTATTTTAGGCATCAGCTTTTCATCATTTATTACAATCTGGTGCAGTGCAGACATTTCTTTATACAAACTATAGTGCATGGTACTGCCTGTATCCATAACAAATTATGTCGCAGTTTGTTATAATAACAATGAGACAACCTTGGAAATATTCCATAATATAAACTTTACCTACCGCAAGCAAATCGTTAAATCCACATTTCTTTACATTGTCCAATTAATTACAATTGCTAATAACTATGTTATTATTGTCAACAAACTATTTAAATACGAAAAATGAAAACAATCTGTTAATAGTTCATTAGTTTAAGTCATGTTAAATTAGGTGCCGAATAGACTATTTCAAAAATGGAACGAGCCTTATTCGAAAAAATAATTCAAAATACCAGTCGCATAGGTCACTGACCGCAGTACAAAGATTCGATTACCTATAAGACTGTAGGAAGGTGATCGTCCATCGAATCTAATTTGTTTCTCCATAGATAATCCTGTAACTTTTATGTCGGTTACGGCAGATATTGTTTTATTAGGCATATCAATTTTTACCTTTACAATCTAGCTCCTAGACAAATGACATTTAAAAAGTCAATGTATGGAATTGACACTGGCACTCGACAAATTCTGTCAAAACTTATGTCAAACTCATACATTGTCTATACGAACTAGGTAGGTGATGAAGTTAGTGCTGAATTTATCGCAAAATATGGAAAGAAAGAAGATGAATAGATACTGAAGAATGATATGATAGAGGAAGGGGTGTGTGATATTTAAATTAAGATATATTGTACCAGTTCCAAGTAAACTTGTATAAAGACGAAGACCTATAAAACACAAGAACAGTTTTGCGTACATTTTTGTCTGTGCATATTAGTCACTTATTTTACAAGGCACTTAAATACCTTTGTCCACAGGAAATTCATGGCCCTTCTTTTGCGTCAATTCAGAATGATTTAACACTGAAAATAAGGGAAAATTATAATTAATTATGGTAATGTTACGTATGCTTTCATGTTAGTTTATGCGTCACGCTGACTGACTGACATTTTGACCACATTACGTTAAAATACAAACGTCATATTATGCCACAATGACCTCTAGTCTGTCTGTCATGTTAACATGCAGAAACAATACCTACTTAATGAAATACAATGAATGAAAATGTTTGAATAACTGTTCAAATCTTAAGAAGTCGTATTAAAGTATTGTGTCCAAACAATTTGGAACGGTACGATCAAATATTTAATTACCAAACTTCAATATTATTGTGACACTTATCTGTAAGCTTAACTGTACCACTTTCAAATCTATAAATAAAATCCTTTAAATTTTTTTTAAAGGTGCGTCACTTATTGGTTCCAATTTCGAAATTATGTCAAACGACTGGCTCCCGACAGAGACTGGGCAGCTGATACATCTGAACATTTTAAATTTCGATTACCAACCAGCCTGATTAAGTGATTATAGAAAAGTCTATTTTAAAGAGAAGAACATAGATCTGTTTTTAATATTTCTTTGGGATTATGGATCTGTCTGGATATGTCCAGAATAGGATCAGAATATGTCCTGTCTGGATATGTCCAGAATAGGTCAGTATTTTGAAAATAACGATTTCTTATTGCAATGACAGTTAGGGACATTATAATTGATGAAAAGTCTTGCCATTTCTAGGAGTACTTACCTAAAAGCTTTAATTTTAGGCACCTATGTATCTAATTGCACAAAACATAGACATTTGAGAGATGACTGTACAAATTAAGGAAAAACAAAATGTTGGTTGCGCTTGCATCGCAGAGAGGTCGATACGCTACATTCACCGCGATGCATGAGTAATTTGCTAGTAGTAAATGTTACTAGTCACACGAAATTACGGAGTTACATGCATTTCAGACATGAAAATACGAAAGGGTCATCTTTTGTGGAGAGAGTTCAAGAGACGTTCCACTGTTTCATTGGATTGTTCAAACTTGGTCATACGTTTCATACAGTAAAGACATAGCCTTTAAAAGCGTGAATGAACGTCTCTAAAGATGCTTATTGTCACAGATTAAATGAGTATTTCCAAGTGTATTTTGATAATAGGTAATTATTAGGCGTTCTTGCATCGATTAGAAGTACAAACATACCCATAAATCATAATACTTCCTTATTAATGTAGATAAAATATTAATTAATTTGAATGATAATTAATGAGTGCGTATAAATATAAAGTTTATAATCAACTAAGTAGTTTCAAACCAGTCATGCGACGTCGTCAAGAGCCAAGGTGCAAAGGTCCATGTTTTGCTAACAGGCTGGCTTACGTCAGGAAGTTAAAAAAGATTTAAGTACGTACTTAGAAGTAAATAAAATTGAGTTTTATGAAAAAACGAATAGGTAGATTACTTATTGCAGAAAAGGAAGGAGTAGGACAACCAAATTTTCGAAGGATATTTAGTTAATTTGGAATGTTCCATGGAGCTATGGATTTTTATAATAAGTTTGGACCAAAGATATATTCATAATGAGTAACTAAGATGGAACAGGGTCATGGAATAAGTGTTCAGCCGGTAAAGACCGGCAAAGATGGCACAATCTGAGAAGACTTCTATTCAGCAGTAGACGGAAATATTCATGTAGATAAAGAAGAAGAACACAAGTGTACTGGCAGTTCTCAATCATTCTTTACACTGGAAGAAAACTAGCATAGTAGCCTAGACTACTCAGACATTCAATGCTTAACAGACATGCATTGCAGTCATTCTATAAGAATTTTTAATTGTCTCTAAATACATGGTGTCAACCAATCTATTGTATTCTTCAACGCAATTCATTATGACATTAACTTGAAATAATTATACAGAACTGGTTTATTTCATGTTCCATTGTCTTTTACACACAAGCGTATTTATAGAATGTCTTGATTACCTAATTAACGTAATAATCTTAATAGTGCTCATATTAACCTACTCAGATCTACATTAACAGAAACATAAACAGCAAAAGCGCATGAGTAATGCGCAGTAACTTTTTCAAAACAACTTGTGTGAATTTTAGAAGGAAGTGGTATATGCAACTTAGCAACATTCATTATTCAAGAAGAAAATTCATATGCAAAGCTATGTACCAACCACACACGTCAGCTGCTGCAGTAGATAAATTTACCAATTTCGGACTTCTTATCTGACCTGATACCCAGTACCTACGTTATGTGTCAGGTGATAATTAAACCAATATCAGAGAGATAACAAGCGCCAGTCTACCGAGCCATGTGCAAATTGTGCAATTGTTAAGCTAAAATTAAACCAAAACCGTGTCAAAATAATTTGGATGATTTTTCTCAAATGCAACAGCGTGACGGGCGCGATACACTTGAGTACCGTTATTACTGAAGACGGCTAGACGAACGTATGCGAAGTTAAACGCATCAGTAATATCATGTAACCTACCCATACACCGAAACCAATGATACAATCATGATTGCATTTTGTTTTGACCATTGTTCTGTAACGGCCTTTACAAATCACTACTCACCCCATCATAGGTAACACTAACAAATAAACGTAACAATACATAACACGCAACACATCACAACTTTCCTGTTCAATGCTCGTGACCATAAATATCCTTTAGAAAATAAAGCATGACGGTAATCGACGAAGATAATCTAAATCTAACTAGAAAGGAGGACCTATAGAAAGCGGTACCGTAAACGTTAGCGTAACAGACGTTCAGACAATTCCATGCTTCACTTCTATTTAGTTTTGTTCTCTGCGTTGCGAATTGGCTGGTGAGCGCAACGTCTAGGGCGACGGCCACGGCGAGAACCGCTCACACAGCCTTGCGAAACTAACCTTCGGTTCCTTGCAGGCACTCCAGCTCGACTGTGTAGTCCCATAGGTCCAAGGAATTCAACCCGTTCAGCTCCCACGAGTTGAACGAGTCGCACTGTTCCTGTTCCTCGCTCATCTTCCACTCACTTGTTAGAGGTCACTCACGAAGACTAAGTGTCGGCGCTAGCGGCCATAGTTTAACTAATTCATTGTATTGCTCGGTGTTGGTAATGTTGAGAGACGCGGCCGGTGCGGCGGCGCAGAACGGACTGAGGCGAGGCCGCACTGCCGGCTCTCGGCGACCGCAGCTCGCAACACGGTGCAATTACCGCGCGCCATCGCCCGTCCGCCCCAATCTCATTTCGATCTCATTTCTTTCGATTAGTCGTCCAGAAGAAGAAATTAACAAATGTTGTCGTACAACCGACGTAATTCATAATTGAAAAAAGTTTGAACTAATCACCGGAGAAAGTACTACTGGCTGCGTGCTACTTGTGATCAATCAAGGAGGATATCGGTATGGAAATGTACCTGTATGAAGTGATGAGCTAGAAAGTTTTTGGTCTGTACACAATGCTTTCGCACACTTTACATTTCTTAACGTCATTATAGATTACCATCTTTTATAGCAGTAGCATGTTTGGTGCAATTACGAGGTGGTTGGGATGTGAATATTTTGTGATATTCAGTCTAGTTTCCCTATTATTGTCTGAAACAGGAACCCGAGATCATTAAATGTTGCGTTCAAAATGGCTACTATAAAGGTTTGAAGCAGCAGGTGCAATACCCGCGGAGTCTGGCCGTCCCTCGGCTGATCGAATGCGTCCACCAGACCGGAACAACGCAGCGACTGTCATATCGAATAAATAGGACATTTCGTTACGCAATTGGTCATAATCCCACGACACCGATATCTTGTTACCATGTAATTTGTAATTCAGTTATAAATAAATACAAAACTATTCTGCATTAGGTGTAAACACAATTTAGTCTTTACTAAAAAATGTATTCGAGTAAACTAACAAAGCGATTTGTTTTGCTCTATTTATTGAACCGTAGATCCGGCTTAATAATTCGCTAACTGGTTTATCTTCACAATCAGTTTATTTATTTGATATCTAACCACTTCAGTGTTATCAGTAGAAACTAATTAAAGTTCGTTACCATGTTCTGTACGTATCTTTGATTGGTTTGTCCTCGAGGTAGGGTCATCAAATCGTTACGGGTCAGATAAAATTGTTCCTTCAAGCGATATTATTGTGAAGTCGAAAATAGAAAGTATGTACCAAATACTGTAATTAGTAGTTTTCGAATGGACAAACATAACACGCCTTTTATAAGCAAGCCTATTGCCAAATATTGGACAAAATTCAAAATCTTGTTGAGCTCGCAATGTACCTAAACACCACATTGTATTACCCATATTTTCAAATAAACTATCTTTATCTTTATCAATGTGTAAATCATAAATGATCAATATCCAAGATGAGAATCACGCAATTGTCGCGGAGAACCTAACGGGTTACCGGGGCTCCGGCTCGAAGCGCAAGAGAAGGAACGGGGTGGTTTTTAGTCAGTAAGAGTCTGACACTCTCTCCCGCCTCACCCAGATGGGAAAATTCATTTGATGATTTTCTCCCCTTAAAAAAAGAGTATTCAATTATTGAAGTATTTCAATAACTTAGATACCTTTTCATCGATATGTTCTATTGATAATATGACAGAAGGATATTTGGTTTTATCATAATGTGTATTGTTTGGATGCCTTGAATCACGTTCCAAGTTATGTTTACATTTCTATTGTAGCAAGTAAATGATTAGAAGTAGACAATGGAGAATCCTTGTCATTTGATAATCGGTTTACAAGTACAAAAATGCTATTGATTGATTTCCATGCATAATTACGTAATCTATCTATAAGTATTCCTTGTGTATACGTGTATAGCAATTTAGTGACTGTTATATTTTTAAGGAACCTTCCGTCCATAGCTACGTCTGTATTTCTTACATCTTCAATTAGACCTTCCTCAAGAATTACTCTATCAAATGAAAATCGTTACAAAATTTGTTAAGCAGTTTTAGCGTTTATCGCAAACAGACAGCCACTTATATGTGTCGGAATTCGCACTACGGTGTCACCTGCGTTAAGCATTCTTTGTTGCTGTTGCATCCTAACTTCCTTGTCTAAATTACCCATAAAACAATGCTACATAGTAGATGGAAGATTTAAGTAGTATAACAATGTAATATAATTTAGCAGTTGCTATGTTAATTGGGAAGTAACAATTTAAGTCTTTGACCAGAAACTGTTCCGTGGGAAATTGCACAAACCCAAGAATGGATGTGTGAATAAAATGGTTTCTGAATATGACGTCATTAAGTACTTAAAGTATTAAGTGAATTGTATCTTTGACATGAATTGTTATCTCGTTGAAAAAAATGTGTTAATCTTAATACGGATTTTGAATGTAGGTAATAAGAACTGAGGATATTGCTGGTAACACGGCAACGTACATAATATCCTCACCACATAGGTAATATTATATCAGATGCATAATTAAAACAAGTATCTACATGGGTACTTTTGAAACTTCCAAATATGTGCATAGAATTATGTTATTTGTCACTCAGTCAGCTTACTGCGATTGCCAGACTAGTTCTTCTTCAAAGCAAGACTCATATAAAGAAAGACGAGCTGAAACACAACCTGTGAAAAGTATATGTCTCATTTATTATGTATTGTGCAATTGTGCATCCCTTCCTACCTCTTCAGGGAATAAAATATTCTCAAAATGGTTGAATAACTTCAGTTGGTTGTCAGTGCATCATGCACGAACGTTCAGGTTCGTTGACACCACGAGCTATGAGTAATTCATCTCAATTATAATTTGCTACCAGAAGTAAATGTTATGACAGTCACGCTAGCTGCTATCATTAGGATTTACATCATCTACTCCGCCTTATATTGTTTGTAAGACGAATTCTGTTTTTGTTTTGTATTTTGGCCTCCTTTTAATGAATACAGAGTTTTGTTACTTCATGTTTAATATTGATATTACGTTCACCTGTTTTATTAATCGTCATCTCATACATGATGTATGCAAATCTATATCGTGTATTGAAAGTGGTAAGGTCTTTAATTGCTGTACATCAATTTCGTACACTCACTCCTTCGAATTTATATACTCCTGGTACCAGGCGCATAATTACTTGGAATTTCTTCTATCAGAAGTTGTTTTAAGATCGTTCATTGAAGTTAAATTAGAAAAGAAATAGAAAATATAACTTTCATAAAAGTAAAAAGAATATAAGAGAGTGTATCTGATGATATTATTAATGGTCATGGAATGTCATCTCACTACAGTACATAATGTAGTGTATTTATGCTAATGTCGACTTTTATACTTATGTTTTAAAGTATAAAAACGAAACACACCGTTCTCCCATTAAGAGGATTAATTTTGCCTTTTTTTAAATCTGTTCTTTGGGAAATACCTTACATATTTTACTTTGTTCGTTTTTAAGTCTGTGCATTAGAGCTGAAAATTGATTACAAAAATTAACAGTTTTGTAGTAGCTTAGGTACTATATTAAAGTATATACTAGGTAAGCAAAGACTGCTAGCATTTCGTGTTCTATTCGTGCGTATAAAATTGATGCGAACCTAGTTTCTGGTGAGATGAACACTATGCGCTCGTTAGTTCTTGCACAGGAATTAACTTTATTTTAAAATGTTTTAGCAGATTATGGAACTTCTATTTTATTTATAGAATTCTATTCATATCTCATAGCGTATTTGTATAACTAGGAGTAAATAGTGTTGCAATCATTCATGGTCACGTGAATTTTGTATTAATTGCAAAATTATATAACTTCATTGATTTTTTTTATAGCATAGCGTAAACGAGCAGACGGAGCACCTGATGGTAAGCAATCGGCGCCGCCCATGGACACTCGAAACACCAAGGCGTTACAAGTGCGTTACCGGCTTTTTGGGAATTGGGAATTTGAGGATCGTTGGGGAGATTGGGGAAGGGGAAGGTAATTGGGTCTCCGGTAACCTCACTCACACGACGAAACACAACGCAAGCGTTGCTTCACGTCGCTTTTCTGTGAGGCCGTGGTATCACTCCGGTCGAGCCGGCCCATTCGTGCCGAAGCACGGCTCTCCCACACTTATTACCCCAAGAGTTATAAAGGGGGCCTAGTAGAGTTATAAATATGGCAGTTCGAAATACATGGGTAATTAGCTTTACCTACAGAAACTCATGGAACAATAAATAAAATTAATTTTGTTTTAATCAATGCTATTCTATGACAAAGTTGCGTGCAATCAGCTGCTTTAGATGGAACCGATTACCTGATTAGCTTATTTATATGGATATTGAACTATGATTAATTACGACCAGTTATAAAAACGTAAAAAGCAAACTTAATCATTAATTTTAATGTCATAATTTTTAGTCACCGAAAACTTAGATAAATAATTGTAAATACTGAATCAAAGGTTAAAGAAAACGTGATTCAATAAAATATTTGGGTATTTTTTGTGACATCGATAAATAATGGCATTATTCTTTTATTAACTGTGCCTTCGATTTCGTCCACGTGGAATAGTCATTCACAACTTCCCCCCGTAGGTGATAGTGTGGTAATATGTAGTCTATATGTTGACCCGACCTGTTAGTAATGTTATGCAAAATTGGAAATAAATCCATACAGTACTTTTTAAGTTTAGCCCGGACATACATTCAGATAAACAGACAAAAATAATATTTTTGGCTTCGATATCGATAGTAGATCACGCCCCAAACATATATATTAAGAAAAGAAAGAAAAATCATTTATTCGACAGTAGGCACGCACACAGATACAATAAAATACAAAATTAAAAAAGAAAAGAACAAATAAATACACTTATTTATACAGATATAGAAAAAAAAACAAAAAGAAACGACAACGTATAACAAAACAGTGACAATAGAATACGAACACAATAATTAAAAATTAATAAAAACAAGATATAAATAAATAAATAATATTTACGGTGCGTGCCCTTGCCAATAATGCCAATATTCAATGTACAGTATTGTACAGTTTTCACTTTACTACGATATTATTATATGTATACTATAT